ATCTACAAATGAGTTAATAATCTTATGTAATAGCAAACTGAAAACTGAAGTGTTGCTCTGACAAAACTGTCAATATCTTTGCTGTTTTTCTAACATTTCGTCAACCAGATGAACCTCATCCCTACAGAGCTGTGTTCCTCAGCTGAAGCCCTGAACTGATGAAATAAAAACCCAACCAGCCACACAACCCCTAAAACCCTGCAGGCTTCATGTATTCTGGTTCCTGACTGGAGGCTTCACATCCTCCTGCTGACAGCATTTTCACCACCATCCAAAAGCAGCTTCCTCATATCTTAATCTCACAATCTGAAAACTAAAAAAATAAAAAAACCCTCCTCTGAACAGGAATGAGGTCAGCCTGTTTCTTCAGCAGTGCATCCAGAGTACACTGTGCCAGAAAAGCAGCCAACCCTGCAGACATCCAGCAGCATCCCAAGACTGTTGCTGTGCGTCTGTCACCTCTTTTTTTTCTCAGCAGCACCAGTGATCCCCTGAAGAGCTCTGGGTGGGATATCCTGGTGACTCCACACAGACAAGGTCACCACTCATTAGAAAGAGTGTGATAGAAACATCACAGGGGCCACTTCTTGTCTTTAAACATTCAAACCCTGCTGATCAGCTGATCTAAGCAGCACATGTCAGGCTTCGTGCCCCTCAGTGGTGGACTGGAACAAGTTAAAGGGTGCAACACATCCTCGGCAGACTACTCAAATCAACACGCAGGTGAATGGAGCGTCGAGTAAAAGGAGCTGTTTGCTGCATTGCACCTGTGAGAAAAACGCGCCGAACTTTGGGTAGGAAGTGTTGGCTGTCTGGTCCCACCGGGGTGCGATCGGTCCTGCGAGGGTCGTGATGGTGTGGACGGACAGCTCTCCTCCCCCCTACCCACCTCCTCACTCCTCCTCCTCCCCACAAATAAACAAGCAAATAATAATAATAAATAAACATCAGCAAACAAGCACCGGCGGCTGGACCGTATGTGCCATATGCCAGAGGGGGAAACGCGGCGGTGTTTGCGCGGTGTCCCGGTGCCGGATCAACCTGCTCAGCGGTTGGTGTCTTACCTGGTGGCGGCGGGAAGCGGTGAGAGAGACCGGCCAGAGGGGGAGAGAGAGGGAGGGATGGATGGAGCGGGGCAGGCGGCGGAGTCACAGTCCGGGGATCAGGCACCGCGTTCCGGCGTGTCGGCGCGTCTCAGCACCGTCTGAAGGCAGAAATCATCCACACAGCCAGCAGGGTGTTCCCGACAGGAGGGGGCGTGGTGTGTGTGTGTGTGTGTGTGTGTGTGTGTGCGTGCAGCACAACCCTCCTCACAAAATAGGTTTGTTTCTGACAATGCGACACTTGTTCTTGTTCTTATTGTTGTTGTTTTTTTTTTTGCGTAAAAAGCAGCTTACTGGTCCAATTAAAGGAGGATTCCGTCCAAAGCTGCAGCTCTGACTGCAGCGTTCAGCTCCACACAGGTTCAGGAAACTCCCTGTTGTCGCTGCTAGTGCATTATGTATTATGGATTTCCCTGCTCACTTCCTCTGGGAGTCTGTATTTCTGTGGTAATGACCTGGAGGAGCTGCCAGCTCCACTGCAGAGAGACTATTTAATGATGTGAAAGATAAAAAAAAAAAATAGAACTCTGACACAGGAGATGTATAATAATATTAACAAGATCAACAACATCCTGGAAATTATTCATTTTCCTGTGCTGTTTTCTCCCTACACTGTAAAAGAAATATATAGTTTATGTAAAATCTGTATGTTTTTTATGTTAATGAAATATGGTAAATGTTTTTCAACTGTTTTTCTACAGATTTTTCCTGGTTTGCTAAATAAAAGATCAGTAGTAATATCACGGATAAAAATAAATAAATAAATAAAAATTTTTAAAAAATCACATTAACTCTCAAAAACAAACAAACAAACAAAAAACAAAATAAAAACTGGTCAAAACTGTCAACAATGATCAGATGAAAAGTTTATATGAAAAAAAAAATACTATAGTTTTCAACCATACCATTAAGTACAATTTTACTGTATGTAAATTACCTAAAAAATATATATATAATAAATTAAATTAAATAAAAAAGTATTTTACAGATTTTGCCAATATTCTAAATTAAAAAAAAAAAAGTCTATTAAGAAATGGAAAACAACAACAACAAGAACAACAGATTTTCCCTGTTTTGCTAAATTTAAGATTGCTAATAACAAGTAAAGTTACAGAAAAAAGTATACATTTTCATGTTACCTCTCAAAGAACGGCCCAAAACTGTAAATGACATCCACATTAAAAAATATCTATATTTTAAAAACAATAAAAGAAAAAAAATAATTTCTTCTTTTATGGTGTTTATCTATAAAATTTGATGGTTTTATAATATTTACCAGAGCTAAAAATGCCATTCAACATTTTTTGATGTATTTTTTTCTGGCAGCATTGCTACCAGATTATTTACTGTTTTTCTAGTCTTTTTTACAGTGTACATAACCTACACTGTAAAAAAAAAAAAAAAAAAGGAAAGAATGAAAGAAAAAAGAAAGATAAAAACAAAGAAAACTAATACACACCGCTATTGCTTCCACACCACTTTAAAAAAATTAATGTGATGAAAATTTCCGTTCAATTATTCAAAAATATTTCTGAGGACTAATTTAAAAAATCTATGGCATTTCAATGAGTTCGACCCTGCTCATAAAACAGTTTCATTTATAATAATGTGTGAAATGTGTTTCAGATATTTTCCCATAAGAGAAGAAGGAAGAAAAGTTAAAAAAAAAAAAAAAAAAGTGAGTGAGTCTCAGTCTCAGTGAGGCAGTAAGACCAGTTTCAGTGTTAAACCTCCCATGAACAAATGATGTTGAGTTCACAGCACTAGTACTTTGTCACAGGTGGAACATCACACATGAATAATTCATAGACACTCATATGATTTATGGCTGAGCGTGTTTCAGCTGTTTATCATGTGTAAATATGTCACATTTTAGTGAGAGTGATTTATGATATCACTTTGTGGTTTTCCCTCGTGTAATGAATTCACATTATCCTAATAGGTTGGATTTACAGCTGCATGAGGATCACAGGAGGTAGAACAGCATGTGATTCTCATGTAAAATATGATGAAACTTATATGCAGGGAAGTCACCAAACATTAGTATGACATACATAGGTACATATCTTTCATGGAGGCCTTCAGGAGAGTTTTTTTATTCGTTGAATTCATTTAGCATCTTGTTTCAACCAATTTACCAAAAGTTAAAATGTAAAAAAATCTAATCAAAAAATGTTCTGGCGTCTTCCTAGTGAAGTCTGGCTACTTGGATAGATTTGATTTGGAGATCTAAGTCTGAAATGCCACCAGCAGGTGAATTAATTTGAGTTTGTGCTGCAACATTCAACAGTGCTGCACACTTAATGTCATACTGCTTTGTAGAATATCCCATTTATTCTCAGAAAATATCAAAGTCCCGAATCATTTCCTATATAACCTATAGTGAAAAAGCCCATGGAATAATGTCACAATCATGGTTTTTGTCATAATGAAATTCCCCATAATTGATTCCAGGAATAGCTTTTGCCCGTTTAAAGTCTGGTCGGCTGATCGTTACGGCTCACGGGCCAGGTGTCGGTCATGCGTGGCAGACTATCACACCCTGGTCATCCATGGAAGGCAATGTGTTTGTTTGTTTGTCAGTTACCTGCTCACCTGAGATCTGCTTCACTGAGTTATTCACACACTGTCTGACATTAATAAGGGCACATCAAAGAGAATCACATTGTCGCAGAGCATGTCATCACTTACAACTGAACTGCTCAGCTAGCTAATCATGATAAATTGATCCTCTGTTTACCCTCTGATTAGAGGAAATAACTTTTATTGATGAGGTGGCTTTTCATACTGACAAAGGTGAAATTTCACTGAAGCAAAACCATAAAGTTCCATTTAAATAAACATTTTCTGATCTTCAAAGAAACTGTGAAATCATTCCCATTTTGGCTTTTTCGTCACACAGACACAATTTTCTCAGTGCTCTATTGTTGCGGACACTTCGATAAGTTAATCTTGAAGCCCGCTTATTGTAATATCCTGGATATAGTCATAATTCCATCCTGGACTGAAGGTATGATAACAAACGGGCAGCACTCTATTCAAGAAATTCTGCTGCAACACGTCTTTATTAATGTGGACAAGCCATGTAAACAGAGCAAAGTGTCTGCAGATTTAACTCTAATTTCCCCTGAAGGAATGGTCAGTCTTTCTGCTGTCTGGAGCATTTAACTTTGAGCCTCAGCGTCAGTGGACAGGATGCTCTCCCTCCTTACATGCCCTGGTTTGACCCCTGTAGGGACGAATCACTGACAGCAACATGTTTGAAACAAGCTTCAGTCATACTGAAAATGCTGATTCTGTTGGTTTAGTATATTCAGTGGAAATGAGAAAGACATTGTGTAAAATTAAAAAAGAAAAGAAAATGAAGAGAAGTTTTTATTTCAGATTTATTGTCCCTGTAGTACCTGAGTTCCACCACAGGGAGGCGCCCCTCTGAGAACCCGTCAGCGTGTAGAAACGTCTTTTCTGAGCTCGTTGTCTGTGGAGAAGCTGAACAGGAACAATAACAGCAGCAGCAGACACCGGCCAACACAAAGAGCTCTGACTGGGTTTTTCTGTGACAGTAACGATGGAGGAGTACAACTCTGGAGACGAGGTGAATTTAATTTAACTACATTTATTGAAATGTTCACCGTCAACACTTTAAAGTTGTTCAGTTAGCTGAATTGGCTAGCCGTTAGCTTAGCCGGTTAGCTGACCGTTAGCTTAACCTGTTAGCCGAGCATCTCCATCAGGGTGTGGTCCAGTTCATCAGATTTAACCGTGTTTTTAATGCTGTTACACTATTTTATTAGGTTGGACATCAAAACCAGCCACTGTCACTCACTGTGGCCGTTTCATAAATTGTGGGGTCATGTTTGGGTCTCCTCGATTGATAAAATGGGCTAAAGAATGAATTGACAAATCCCTTACTGATGGTGCGTTTTAGCAAACTGCAGCAGCTGTACAGTTCTTTTAAAAATATTTAACATGGTTTGACAGATAATGAATTAACTGTTGGTATTAACAGGCAAATACTGCATTCAGAAACTAGAAATTCAATAGAAATGTGCTTGTGCATGTAGTGAATGACCCCACAGTGGTATGTTATATATTTAATAATGGATTCATGCTAAAATATATAATCAACAATTACTGTTGCTGCTGTTTCAGGTTGGGATCATTTATACTGTGTGAACCGTATAACACTACAATGTTTTTATACTTTGAAATCTTAATCTGCAAAGTAACTTGTTGCTCTGGGGCTGAACTGAATATTATATAATATATATAACTGCAGTTTTTCTAACAGATATTTTGATTTGTGATGTAATGACACTGCTCAGAAAAGTAAAGGAACACCTAAACAACACAACGTAACTCCAAGTCAGTCACACTTCTGTGAAATCAACCTGTCAGCCCCTATAAAGGAGTGGTTCTGCAGGTGGTGACCACAGACCATGTCTCTGTTGTCGTCCTTTCTGGCTGATGTTTTGGTCACTTTTGCATTTTGTCAGTGCTCTCAGCCCTAGAGGTAGCATGAGGTGGTGTCTACAACCCACACAAGCTGCTCAGGTAGTGCAGCTTATCCATGATGGCACATCAATGTGAGCTGTGGCAAGAAAGTTTGCTGAGTCTGTCAGCACAGTGTCCAGAGCCTGGAGGAGATACCAGGAGACAGGCCAGTACACCAGGAGACATGGAGGGGGCTGTAGGAGGGCAACAACCCAGCAGCAGGACCGCAACCTCCTCCTTTGTGCAGGAGGACCGGGAGGAGCTCTGCCAGAGTCCTGCAGAATGACCTCCAGCAGGTCACCAATACGCATGTTCCTGCTCAGAAACAGACTCCATGAGGGTGGTATGAGGGCCCCACGTCCACCAGTGGGGCTTGTGCTTACAGCCCAACACTGTGCAGGATGATTGGCATCAGAGAACACCAAGATTGGCAGATTGGCCACTGGCGCCCTGTGCTCTTCTTGGATGATAGCAGGTTCACACTGAGCACATGTGACAGACGTGACAGAGTCTGTAGACATTGTGGAGAACGTTCTGCTGCCTGCAGCATCCTCCATCATGACCAGCATGGTGGTGGGTCAGTAATGGTGTGGGGAGGCATTTCTTTGGAGGGCTGCACAGCCCTCCATGGGAGAGCCAGAGGTACCCTGACTGCCATTAGGATGAGATCCTCAGACCCATTGTGAGCTCAAATGCTGGTGCAGTGGGCCCTGGGTTCCTTCTGATGCATGACAATGCTCGGCCTCATGTGGCTGAAGTGATGTGTCAGCAGTTCCTGCATGATGAAGGCATTGATGCTATGGACTGACCTGCCCGTTCCCCAGACCTGAATCCAACTGAGCACATCTGGGACATCGTGTCTTGTTCCATCCACCAACGCCACGTTGCACCACGGACTGTCCAGGAGTTGACTGATGCTTTAATCCAGGTCTGGGAGGAGATCCCTCAGGAGAACATCCTGCCTCATCAGGAGCATGCCCAGGCGCTGTAGGGAGGTCATACAGGCACGTGGAGGCCACACACACTACTGAGCCTCATTTAGACTTGTCTTGAGGAATTTCCACTGAAGTCGGATCAGCCTGTGATGTGATTTTCCACTTTTATTTTGAGTTTGTTTCCAAATCCAGACCTTCATGGGATAACAATTTTGATTTACGTTGATCACTTTTATGTGATTTTGTTCTCAACACATTCCGCTATGAATGAATACACTGGAATATTTCATTCATTGAGATCTGGGATGTGTTATTTAAGTGTTCCCTTTATTTTTCTGAGCAGTGTGTTTATTGCTACATTTCAGTATGTTTTGTGTGATAATGTTAGAACATGTGAAAGATCATAACCACATGAGGCACCATCAGAATATTATTATTATAATGTTGTAATTCAAAACAGAATTTGACGAAATGAATTGCTTCAAACATGTATTTATTGCCTTTCTGTAAAGGCAGAGGAGATAGAACAATTACCACAATAATGAAGTGATATTAATTAGAAAATATTAGGCTGTTTCAATATCTGACCTTGAAACAGGAGCCCAGGAACAGCACTAAGTACTGTACATTCTGCAGACAACAGTAATAAAAAAATAGGTCCTGAGTCAGACGCTCTGCATAATGTATATCCTAAGTTGCAGCCTGTGCGATTTCCCAATTTTAATGCTTAAGGTTGTGATTTCATTTTGAAATCGATTAATTTTTCATCCCTACTTCCTTCTGAAATGTGGTGAAGATGATTATTGATTCACATCTATATGAAAATGTTACATAACTACCAAGGATGAATGTACAAAGTTTATTTCTAGCACTGCAACAAGAATAAGTGTTACTCACAAAGTAAGAGCTTTTTTATTATTTTTTTTGGCATTGATTATCCTTCTGTGTTTTATTATTTGATTTTCCGTCCACAGTTGGTTATGTTGGCACACATCACACTGCATTCATTTAGCTCCTGCGTTGTCCAAAGTGACTCACAATAACTGTACTCAAACTCCACAACACCTGCACAAAAGTCAATCGCGCAACATCATCACTTGGACTTTGTCCACTTTGTTGTCTGGAGCGAAGCTGCCTGACTAACAATTTATATATTTCAAAACAAACACGATTTAGACATTTACACTTTTGTATAGTTCAATTTTGCTGAAATTTGTGATCAAATTCGGGTGTAAATGCTCAATAGCTTTTTGTACAAAGTCAATAGGACATTAAATGCTCGGTTTCAGGCAACTAGAAGCTAAAATTACCGTAGAACACAAGCTGCCCACTCACATTAAAACAAAAATAAATGTACCCATCAGTTTAGCGGCCACCAAATGGTAACAGATCTCCAAAATAAGCTGGCAGACTTGCAGCCATGACATCTTATCACCTTAATTAAAAGTTTCAAGCAACAATTTAAGTGTTAGTAATATTAGCTTTCATTTGCAGTAATTATAGTCACTCGTTTAGATTTACTTTAAAAAATATATATTATTTTATGTTGCTTTCTTTCGAAGAAAAGTATTGACTTTGATAATATCTTGTTTTTTTTGTTTTTTTTAATTAAACAATAATATATATCATTAAACTTTGCCCCATTAAAATTCATTTTTCATGTTGAATTTGACTGCCATGTAGAATAAATCACTTTTTCACTGCTAACCCTTCATGTTTTCCTTTTTAAAATAATCCTCCAGGTCGCCTTTAACGCAGATGAGGCCAGTATCTCAGTTAAAGAGGTACGTTTAAATCCCTGGAGAAGTTAATAAACTACATTTTCATGTAGTCAGTGTACGTGACTTCCTCTTTGTCTGTTTGTGTCAGTGTATCGAAGGTGTGATCGGTGGAACAGACTATAACCAGAGTAAAGTGAACCAGTGGACAGCCAGCATAGTGGAGCATTCACTGACCCACCTGGTGAAACAAGGACGGCCGTTCAAATACATCGGTGAGCCACACCATGTATGAACTCACAGGACATCATGTTCACGTGTGGTGCTTGTATGTTAAAGCAAACGTGTCTTACACAAGGCTCTGATGTGTTTCAGTGAACTGTGCGATCATGCAGAAGAGCGGCGCTGGACTGCACACAGCCAACTCCTGCTACTGGGACACTGCCACTGACGGTGAGGGACAGTTTATTACATTTATTATGAGGACCGCTACCAGTAGAATTAAGGTGCTTATCACTCTGTTTTAAAATGATGTCTTCAAAAGTAGTTTTGATCCAAGCAGATTAAAATTACACAAAGCAGATAATTTTTTTCATTTTCTGAACCCCAAACCCCTCCAATAGGTTTGACAGGCATGCTATTTTTTTGTTTTTAATTGCCAAAACTACACCATTTGTCATAGCAAGAAACTGCAAAACCAGAAAGAATTAAATTTTCTTTGTTCACAGTCCTCAAAGTACTCATGTGTAATTTCAGTTTTGTTGCGAAAAAAAAAAAACTATAAAATCTGAACTAAAAATCAATATATTTCATCAGTCTCTTCATTCTCCATGCCTCATTTACAAATGTGCACAAAATAAACCATTTATTGTAACCAGAATATGTAAAAAACAAAAAAATCTAGACTTTTTGGTATGTATGAGATGCCAGTAATGACACAACTGCGATCCACCGTTAAGTGACAAAAATTCGAGGAGTTTTCAACTGAACTGCAGGCTGTGTTTACTCAGAGCAGATAGAAGTGTGGAAACAAATTAAAATGTTAGTCGTAAAATATCAGAAGTTTGTAGAGCCACCATACTTTCCCAGTGTTATCAACACAGAATACAAATGTTTTACACTGTAAATTCCAGGGGTTTTTTTTTTTGGTCAGCATGTTACGTTTCCCCCCCCCCTTTTTTTTTTTATTATCCATGGCACCAAAACTTTGATATATTGCAAGGAATAGATTTTTGAATTTTCTCTACTTCTAGCCATGGCTGTGGTTTTTCTATAGAGGTGCAGGATTTTATATTCCAGTGTAAAACAAACCTAGTGAGTAAAAATGTGACAGGAGAAAAAATGCCCAGAAACTGTGACTGAATATTAAAGTACAGCGGCTGTTATTAATGTACTGCTGCTCAACTACTCAATTTATTACTCTTGTATTTGTTGTATCATTGAGTTTCTTGCCTACACACATGCTTTATAAATGAAATCACAGCAACTTATCACCACACATTTCATAAAGTCTGATGTGATTGTTGCTGTGTGTTTGTGTTTCAGGAAGCTGCACCGTCAGGTGGGAGAATCGCACCATGTACTGTGTGGTCAGTGTGTTTGCTGTGGCCGTGGCACTGTGACGGCAGCACAGAGCTGCACACAGCTCCGCCTCCAAACGCCGTCACGTCTGAAGCCGTGCTTGAAACGACACCCTGACCAAGAAGCCATGAAGAGCCTCTGATGTGACCCTCTGGTAGAAGCTGATGTACAAGTATCCCATTTCTCCCCGCAGGCTGAAAGAACAGTTGTGGTTTGTGAGTCGACAGCGAATGTGTCGGTGTGACTGACAAAATGTTGCTTTGTATGGACCAAAGTCTTGGTCATGGAGAGGAAACCTGAAGGACTTTTCAACATGTTGTTTGTTCCAGAAGTTCCAGATGTTGGAAAGTGAACACTGAATATTTATAAATCTTCCTAAATGACTGTAAAGTTTCCAATATGGACAAACAGACTCAGTTTGAGCCATATTAGCTGTGATGGTAGTATCAGTTGGTTGGTCCGCCGGGATGTTCGTATCTGTCATTTTGAGTGAAGTATCTAAAATGTATTCCTCATCCCTAATTGTACACAGTTGTAACTGAGTTTATAACCTCTCAGGTCGTGCCATCATCAGGTCGAAATTGTAACTCGTCTAATATTGTGATTGATGACCAAATACCTGCAAAACTAATGACCTTCCCATCAGCGTCTGCGGTACTTGGCGTGAAAAATATCAGCATGTTAGCACAATAATCTTAGCATTTATCTCAAGTCTCTCAGTGCCGCTAGCCTCGCTGCAGCTTTGCCTCCTTCAGGACATTCCCAAACTAAACAGACTGAACTGTTGCTGTAGTGAGAAGTGTCGTATTTAAGAAACGTCTTTTTGTTGTGTCGTTTATTTAAGTTGACACAGTCACATGTCTACTCGTCTAAAGTGTTTCTGCCAGTCTGTGTTGATCTGTTATTAATTTATTTGTCTGTGGAGAAATGTCCGTTTATTTCTTCATCTGTAAAAAATCCTTGAATTTGTTAAACTGTTTATAGCTGTTCAATAAATTAATTTGTTAAAACCTTTCCAATGCAGTCACTGAATAAATCCCATCATCTCCACTTCATGTGAGCACCAATGAGAATATTCTTATTAATTTGTAGTTTATCCCATCGTCCACTAGAGGTCAGCAGAGGATAACACAGTTGGATGAAACAAGACAGACCAGAGAGTTGTCACATAGAAATATAAATTTATTTGGATTTTTAAGTAGGATTTCATCTTTTAAATGCTTCTTATCTTGTCTATGAGCATGTCTGATGTGTGTAATAGATCTTCATATTCTTTTTTTGTTTTGTTTTTTTTACTTCAGAGATGCCTGTCTTATTTGTACAAATATTCGGAGCATTCATGTGATTCCCGAGGTCATCGTCCCTCTGCAGATTACATTGCAAAAAGGAGTTAGTGCAAAAACAACCACACTCATTTTCTCTCTCACACACACTCACACACACTCACACACGGGCAACTTCTATGTTAAAGGTTAAAAATAAGCAGAAATACTTGTTACAATTCCAAACATTGATGCTTTTTCAGTTGGATATAATCAATTATTGTGTGCAGTCAGTGTAAATATTCTAACTAATGAGACGTACGGACACAGAGCTGACGGACGGGCGTGAATCAGAAAAACGCAAATATACGTACACACAAAGCATTTCACATCACTTCAGCTGCTGATCGACGGTGTTCGACCGAAGCCACTTAAATCCTTTTTTTTTTTTTGTAAACGTGCATAAAAACACACAACATACTTGGGAATGTCCGTGCTTTACAGTAACGCGTTTGGTGATCAAAAACATGTGGAGATTAACGTCTCTTCATCAAGCACAAGCACATCACAGAAGCAGCGCGTGTTATTCATAAAGCTCTTATCGAGGAGTAAAAAAAGCTGATTGCTTGCAGCCATAAAACTAGCGAGAGGGTTGAGAGAAGAAGAAGTAAATCAATGTACCAAACCCCGCCCCTACCACCCCGCAGTGGGATAGTTACGCCTCCATACATGCACACCTCCATGCCAAAGAGAGATGCTAAATACAATCACTTGAAAATGCATGGCTCCTTGTGATCAGTAATGCAGCATATAAGTGGACACAGTCTCCAGAAATAAAGACGTAATGGTGGCGTCCATGTGGGGGGGGTTCTTATTTGTATTAAAGGCTGCTGAATGAAAGGTTAGTATGTTAGCTGATAAGACAGACAAGCACCACCTCTGCACGTGAATCATGTCTGCAACCAGGAAAAGTCTCGAGTTAAGGACACATTTTTGCTTCATGTCGGAGCTGAGATGGACGTATGAGACCAAAAAAGGAGCGTAAACTCAACTCACAGAGGGATCCATGTGGCACTTAAAAGGTTATGATAACTGTCTCTGAATGGCACGTCACAATCCACTGTCGTGCTTTAAGCGTTGCAGGATACGTTGTGGCCGATGTCCCCATTGATTCCACCTGCTATATTGTCCTCCGTCTCAGTAGGAATGTCGTACACCGTGTCATTGAGCATGTCGTACGTTGTGTCGTTGGGCATGTCGTCCGTGGTGTCGCTGGCCGTGTCGTGGGCTCGGTCGCCGGGAGGCTCTTTGTGCGTGGACGGGCTCGGAGGCTCCAGGACGGCCTTTCCCATCGGCCTGTTTTGTGGCGAAGTGGAGCTGCACATCAGGCAGAGCAGGGAGGAGCAGTCCCAAAGGCCCTGGGTCATGCTGGAGGAGAAGAGCCTCCGACACGGATGGCAGAACTGGTAGAACACCAGCATGAAGAAGATGGCGATGGCATAGGCGACCAGCAGCTGCAGCACCAGCAGCGGGGCGCAGATGAAGTTGTAGAAGTCCGTTTTGTAGATGTACCACAGAAGGAGCAGCGAGGCGTTCTCCACAAAACGCAGCATGTAGTACACGGCCATGCGGTACCAGTTCTGGGACTTATTGATGAGGTCTGGGTCATTGAGCTTCACCTGCACGGCCGACCAGCAGAACATGTTGATGCCCGCGTACAGGAAGGTGAGCAGGCAAAGCACGATGGTGGTTCCCACCCTGGTCAGGGTTTTTTCTATGTTCTCGGGGAATGGCGAGTGGCTCTGCCAGAACAAGATCCAGGGGTAGAGGAAGAACACCAGGAAGTTCAGCAGAACCACGGGCAGGATCCAGAGCTGCAGCACAGAGCTGAACAGAACCAGAACCACCACGCGGGTGGCGATCTCAAAGCTCCTCCACAGGAAAATGCACAGATAAGCCATGGGCCGGACGTCCACCTCGTAGTCGTCGTATTTGATCTTAATGGCCAAGATGTTGCAGCGCAGAGCTCCGTACACGATGGACAGGAGGGAGATCACCATCAGAGTGCCTGAAGGGAAAAACAGACACAGAAAAAACTGTTAGAGAGCAGATTTATATCTTTTCTAATCTATTCTCTGGAGTCCAGCTGGATTTTGGCTCATTTCTAAGCTTTCATTTTTGTCTTTATCCTTTTAACTGGTCTCTCCCACGTGCATACGGTCCTTATTTATCCTACTGGCTTTTAATTTTGCTACAGCATGGAGCTGCCAGGAACCCCCCAAAAGTTAAAAAGCTGCCGAACAAAATTATATACATTTTATTCACTACAACTCAAAATGTTAATATAAAACAATTTTAGGTTTAACAAAAATAATCCAGTTTCTCTGTGTACTTAGAAATAATGTTTATTTACACTTAAAGTCATTCTTTTTTTTTTTTTTTTTTTTTTTTTACAATTTATGTATGTCTGTAAATTGACTAAAATATTAATAATCAAGCTTTGAAGTTTTCTTGCCAAAACGTGAACATTCACAACGTTGATGTGCCACAGAACCACAGTCATTTGAATTTCTCAGTTCATCTCTACACAACATTTAAATACAGTTTCTATAAATAAAGCACATCTAGTGTGTTCACAGATGAATAATCAGACTCCGGAGGCTTAAAATAAAAATCCTCATCTGCACTCTGACGCAGTTTGTTTAATTTTTTTTAAAACTATAATCAGCCTTCCTGTTTATTCTATGTAGGTGATGGGGGGCAAACATCCAGAGTTGTGTGCAAAAAAAAGATTATCTGAAGTTAATATGAGGATTCAACAGTCACGCAAACGGGGAATCTAGATCATAACCGGTTGATTTGATTAACTTTGGGCTTATTTTTTGCACAGAAGTAGGACTTTGGATTCTGTCCACTGGCGGTACTGAATGATGGGATCTTTAAATAGCCAACATGAACAGGAGACATGATGTTTTAATGTATTTATGGACACCTGACGGATTCTGAAGTTTCATTTAAAACCACGAAGCTCATGCGTCAGACTAACAGCAGCCGTGGAAATAATACATTTATAACATCTTTTGTTTTGTCCTAATTTGAAGAGCAGATGTCCCAGTTTGACTCTGTGTGAACCTTTTTACTAAATCTCTCTGAGGAATAGACACACTAACTCCCCCACACACACCAACACACACACACACACACAGAGTTACAGCCTGAGCCCAGATCTGCACCAATTGGCAGCGAGAATCACCACTTTCCATCCTCGGTATCAGAGAGGCGCTTACATAACACCACTTTGACTCATGAAAACACCATCCTCTTATTTCCAATATGGCACTTAGCTGATCAGCCCACACTGTGGAGCGCTGGTGACAGACTCGGATGGATTGACCATAAAAGACAAAAAAATCAAACAGCTCGTCCCGCTCGGCTCTCACCTCTCCCGATGGACACCCCCTGCTGCAGGACGCAGATGTAGAGCTGCAGGGTGAGCTGGGGGGCCGAGCCCAGGAAGGCCTGAATGACAGAGGTGCGGGCGAAGGCTGCTCGGTGTGTAAACAGTTTGCCCTCCGCCTGCCCCACCTGCCGCTCCACCTCCTCGGACTGACCCCCGCGGGGCATCTGCTTCTTCCTGGTGATGCTGACATAAGGCTCCTCCACGCGGCCCACGCTGCCATAGATGCAGAACGCCTCCAGACACCTGAAACGGCAGGAGAGCATGAGGAGCTGCACCCCGTGGTGTCGTTCAGAGGCAGATAGCTTTTCATTACTGCTTAATCATTCCTTCCAGTTTCATTTAATTGATTGGAATTAGCTAATTTGCTAGTTTATTCACCCGAGAGGCCACAAAAACACACAAACACGGCACAGAAACACGCTCATGTTCTGCAGGTGTGTGTGTCTATCCATCCATGAAAGGTTAATATCTTTAGTTTCATCCTTATTGTTCAACATGGCTCATCTTGTTTCTGTATCAAGCTGCTGTAACGTGAATTCCACTAGTGAGAGATCAATAAAGTTTATCTTATCTTTAATGTGTCAGCAGTAAATGTAGCCGAGGCTGAACAAATAAACTTCTTGACCTTAATGATAATGATGAGATGAAGAGATCCTGATTTCATTGTGACCTTTTCCAAAAGTTGATGAAATATTTCTCGCTAAAGGGCCAAAAATATCAACAGGTGGTGGTGAAAGAAAAACAGCCACTAAAGTTAGAAGGATTCACCCTCTGGGGATCGTGACTGTGCAACAAAGTTCGCGGTCAATCCCTTTAATAAGTGTTGAAACAGTTCAGTTAGTTATACATTGTTAAGTCCTGCTTGATATCTGACTGATTCACTTATTGGTGTCATGAAGCCTGAGCGACTGTTTAATGAATAACTCTGGATGGAAAAAAACAAACTTTTATGTAAAAAAACAACAGCACAGAGTCAATTCATCTTTCACTCCTGTCATGTAATAAAGCCCCAAGCAATAATATAACATGACATATATTGGTTGATGTGTTCAAATAATTGACTAATAGCCTCTATGATCATATCATCACATCAAAAAATGGAAGTGTTGGTTTGTTAAGAGGACTGACAGTCAGATGAGACACCAGATGAGCTACTGGGGAGGCGAGGAACAGCGTCAGAGAGATAAATAAGACACACAATTTGCCACGGTTTAAAAGAAGCCCTCGTCACACAGTGGAAGCAGAATTTACGAGAGCAGAGTTGATCATTTTTCAAAACTGAGCAAAGAATTGGCAACAGATAATCCAGCATCAGACTGCTTCATCGCCAGTTCTCTGGTTTTGTCTGAAGGTTTCAGACTGATTATTTTAAGCAGCCCACACACTGTAGCTCTCATATTTATCTTGACAATAGCAAAATTCTGTGAATGAAAATCTGATTTCTGGGCTATGCTGATCCCAAAATATTTTTCAGCAAACTCCTCTAGATTTTTACTAATAATTAATTTTACTGATGATGCTCTTCTCTTGATGCGCTGCTTAATTTTTTTTTCTGAGTTGGTCAACAGCAGAACCGATGCTGATCATTTTTGGCACATTAGAAACATAACACCTTCAGTTTAAAAGAACTTTATGAACATGTGGCTCCTTGTTATTTGCTCAGACGGCCCTTTAGGGAGGCGGTTTTAAGAGCAGAGATGTGCTTTTATATTCTATTTAAAAGCTTTTTATCGATCGACTTAACTACATAATTTGCATCGTCTTGGGACTTTGCTAAGTTGTGCTTCCTCTCGTGCTATTATGCTACAAAGTGTAGCTATTTAAAGCTGAAACTGAATACTTCCATTGTTGATTATCTTTTTAATTGATCAATTAGTGGCTTAGTTTATGAGAAATGTTAAAAAATGTTATGTTTTTTGTCTAAATCCAAAAGATGTTAAGGTTACAAGAAGAAAAATGCATTTGCTTGATAAATGATTAAACCGAGTAACTGATGACCAAAATCTAATTATTTTTCTTCTACTTTGTTTTTAATCTCTGTAAAGCCGTTTATAAGCCCTGCCTCAGTAATTTATTAGTTTGAGACTTTAAAATATTACTACTCTAAATACAATTAGTCCTAAAGCTCCGAACAATAGCAAAGCTTCAATAAAACTTCATGTGACGATAGTAATCATAAATGAACTGTCTGAGAACAAACTCAACAAGCTGCTGATAATTTCACCAACAGCATCAGCATCTATTTGTAGATGAAAGCCAGCATTCGGTTCTGACGGAGTCGCTGTCGGTTATTTGTCAGCACGACGTTAAAGAGTCTGAAGTGCAGCGCTCGGGCAAAGGGCCAGAGGTCGAGGCAGTGCCGAGGCGCAGCCAATAAAACAGCAAGGCAGCGGGATTTAAGCCACACGGGTGCTGAGGGGCCGACGGTTCATCAGCGTGAAATACGACGCAGTGACACGAACAGCGAATGCATCACAGACTTAAACCAGAAATAAATAATTAAGCAATACCCAAAATGTCATTCACGGGGGGAGTGATAAAGATCCGTCTGCAGAGCTCAATATGTGAGTTAATACACAGTTTAATACGAACAGCCGACCACATCCATGCAGTCATCTAGTCAGACAATCATCATCTGGATAGCAGCTTCAGGTTCACATCAAACACCAGAGTTCAGAACGAGGGAGAAATGTGAACTGAGTGACTCTGAGCGTGACCTGATTATTGCAGGCAGATGGGCTGCTTGGGAGTATTTCTGAAACTGCTGAGTTCCTGAATTTGCAAACCAACAGTCTCTAGAGTATTATTCAGAAAACTCTGGTGTGAAAAACAAAAAACATGCAGTGAGCAGCAGACTGGTTGGAGAACAGCTACAGTAACACAAATAAGCAGCCTTTACAACTACACCTGCAACACTTATTTAAATCGTTGTCAACTATTAAATGAATGACCAACGATTTTGATAATCAATTATTAAATTTGACTAAGTTTTTAAGACAATTGTGTGCATTTTTTGCTCCTATATAACAGTAAACTGAATATCTTTGGGTTGTGGACAGACATCTGAGGATGTGATCTTGGGTTTCTGGGAGCACTGGTCAACCTTTTTCAAACGACTAATCCATTATTCAGCACCAAGAATAATCGTTATTTGCAGCCCTCTTTACAAGTGTACTGAGCAGAAATGCATGTCACACTGAACAATGGATGGTGGATGAGATACAAACAGCCCAAAAAATGCACATCAGCCAAAAACTGGACAGCTGAAGATGGAAAAATTGTCGCTCAGTTTGATGGACTGATTGATTTCTGCTGATGCTGCAGACGAAAAGGTCAAAATGTGGCATCAACAGCATGAATTCATGGATCCAACATGCCTCGTGTCCAGGCCAGGCGGATGCTTGTGGTGTAATGATGGAGGGATTGTTTTCTTGGCACACTCCCTAGACACCAAAACCTTCTCTGGTAGGTTTAAAACTTTTTACAAAAATGAACAAAATTAGAGCCAGAAAAAAAAAACAAAAAAAAAAAACAGAGAATCAGCAGATTTTCACCTTACAGCCCATGAACTAGCCATGTGTGGCTCCATCAGGAAAATGAACCAAATCTGAGCTTAAAATCCTAATATTTCATCATGACCACTTTATTCATGTATCATATCTAAAAGATAAACCATATAGTCTAACCAAGCTCTGTAAAAATAAACCTTCTCTTTCTGAAACCAAAACTCATGAGGCAAAAACTTTGGGACTTTTGGCTGAACTGAGAGCTGTTACACAGAGCAGATAGGAGACAAGTATGGAAACAAATTAAATAGATAAGAACTAAAACATCTATAGCATGGAGAATCTTTTAGTTTTCCAGTATTGGCATGGACAGGTTTGAAATGCATGCTGTTGTGTTTCTGAATCGCAAAATTACACCATTTTTCACCACAAGAAAGAGTCAGACTTTCACTGTTCCAATGGCTTTTCAGTTTTTTCAGGATGAAGTTATTTTTAGAGCTGACCCTAAACCCGGGATGCGCGATATGATGATATTACATCGTGAAGGATTAGAACGTGTAGATGATCTGCTAAACTGAGGCGATCATATGGATTGTTGAGGTCACATTCTATAAATTGCAGTTCTATACTGATGCACCGATGCACCAGACGTACTATGTCGTCAACCTGACCGACCAATCATAGCGAGTTACAGGCAGTGATGCAATTTCTTACCTGCCTCCTTGTTTGTGTGTGCAGCAGTAGCCGCATGGAAAGCCATGGCTGAAAGCCAAACGGAGGAGTTGGTCACTAAAAAAAACTCCACTTCCATTATATGGAATTGTTTTGGCTTTCCCCCAGATGACAAAGCGCAAACAAAGCTAATTTGCAAAGTTTGCACAGAGACGGTTCGCACGTCGGATGGCAACACGACAAACTTGTTCAATGACTTGAAGAGAAAGCACCCTGAACAGTACGCTGAGAGCCGAACAGCGAGGGGACCGCCGGCAACACCACAGCCAGAGGCAACAGCTGGACCCACAAAGACAACGTTAACACAGGCATTTAATAAAGGCACTCCGTATGAGAAGACAAGCAAGCGGTGGAAAGATGTCAAAAATACATGTAAGGCCGTGATAAAAATCAAAATCGTGATTTTCTAATAAAAAAATCGTGATATATTTTTGCCATATCGCCCACCCCTCATTTACAAAACCCCTTTATTCTACATGTCTCATTTAAAAAAAGTGCACAAAATAAACTCTTGAGCCACATTCTGTAAACAACAACAATTTTGCAGTCCTCAGTGTAACCGTATAGCCTACATTGACTCAGCTGCAACCAGCAGTTACTTGACAAAAATTCAGGGACTTTTTCAGCTGAAGTCCAGGCTGTAATGACACAGAGCTGAGACAAGTATGGAAACAAAGTCAATTAACAATTAATAAAATATCTATAATATAATGTAGATCCACATTTTTTTTACAGTATTGGTAACACCTGTGGGCACCTGGAAAAATGCCGCACATGATGATTGTGTTTATTTTTTGCTGTTGTAGGTTTTTTAAATGATTGTTTCCATGATAACACTTCTAGTTATTGTCGTGCTGTTTCTATAGATTTGCAGGACTTTATACTGCAGTGAAAAGAGCCCACAGTGTCAGTGAAATTGTGCAAAGAGAAAAAGACACCCAGCAATTGCTCAGAGGGTTAAAACTCCTCAAGCATCGTTTAAATACCACAGCCACAGTTTGCCATCTTCTAACAGTTACTTCCAGCAGCATGATGCGCCGTCCCAAAGCAGGATTGCTCCCCAGCCGCCACATCTGAATCCAGCAGAGCCCCTGAGAGCTGGCGAGTGTATGTAAATGATGCAACCACGTCAACATGGAGCAGAATCTCAAACGCGACGTTTGCAACATCTTGCGGATTCCGTGACACAATGGACTGAGGCTGTTTTTACAGCAAAGAGAAGCTCCACCCAGCATTAGCCTGGTGTTTCTCATTAAATGCTCGTACCGAAGGAGTAAGTGGGGTTCACAGACTTAACTCAAACCTGCAGTAACTGATCATTTTAGCCACATCCTCACCTTTTCAGTTTATACAACACTTTTGCTGCTAAAATTATATTCATCCAGAGTCAAATTTCTGGCCAACTGCTGTGTTTGAGTCCAATATTTACTCTTCGGAAGCCCCATGTTTGGTCTCAAACAACCGTGGGAAAAATGTGAGCAGCCAAAAGTGACACTGCAAGTGAGAGATGAACGTAAACCGACAACATGGTGAAACTGCAGGTCGGAAATCATGAAGGATGAGTTGAAACCTGCTGTAAAGTTCTGTAAAGTCAAGGCGCTGCAGGTGATCATTATCCTCACTTTTGTTGCCGTGAGCGACGCCTTTGACATTGTCATTGTCACTGTGATAGCAATAAGCATTGATTTAAAGCTGCTGTAATCGGGCTTTTTTTTAATATTAGCAATAGATCGCATTTAATAGCTGCATGTGAAGGTGCTTCTTCTGATCAATCTACAGAGAATCATCCATCCATCCATCCATCCATTATCTATACACTGCTTAATCCTCACTAGGGTCGCGGGGGTGCTGGAGTCCAGCCAGCTGACTCAGGGTGAAGGCAGGGGACACCCTGGACAGGTCACCAGTCTATCACAGGGCTACACTTAGAGACAGACAACCAAGCACACTCACATTCACACCTACGGACAATTTAGAATCACCAATTAACCTCAACATGTTTTTGGACTGTGTGGGAGGAAGCTGCAGAACCTGGAGAGAACCCACGCTGCACGGGGAGAACATGCAAACTCCACGCAGAAAGATCCCGGGTGGGCGCCCCTATAGCTCACCTGGTTGAGCGGGTGACCCATGAGCAGGGGCTGTAGTTCCCCGACGCAGTGGTCGTGAGTTTCACTAACGACAGTTTGCTGCAGGTCCTCCCCCTTCTTCTCTCCCCCTTTCCTGTCTCACACTTTCCTATCTAATAACAGCAAAAATGCCAGAAAAATAATCTAAAAAAAAAAAAGCTCCCGGGTGTCCTAACCGGGATGCGAACCAGCGACCTTCTTGCTGTGAGGCAACAATGCTAACCACTGATCCACCTTGCAGCCCCATAGAGAATCACCACTCAGATTACCGTTTTTTAGCATCTTTCAGCTCATTGTTTTGGTATCTGACACGAGTGTTTTAAATGCTAATATTCACCATCAGCTGCATTTAAATATGAACTAATATCCTGAGTTATAAGTGTTAAAAATGATCTATTACTGCAGGTTTAAATGCATTTCAAAATATATTTTGTGCATATATTTTACAATTTTATTCCTTGTATCGCAAATCACAATTATGCAACGTTTAAAGCATTTAAACTTCCACATCACACTTGTCTAAGCTGTATTACAGAGAACCACTGGCCTGCAGAAGAGCCAAGGTGACTTTAAACATTTTAAAGTTTCAGGGAAAATGCTGGAAGTGGACGTCAAACTATCAAACTGCATCCTGCCGAACAAATCCTGAGTCTGTTTAGATGAGCGAAAGAAGAAACGATCACCGCAGACTCATGAGGAACTACAGTGGAGCCGCTAATTGCGCAAGAACGAATCAAAACAAAACAACAAAAATAAAGAAGTAGATGAGCGCTCTCACTGCAACAGCTTGCTGTGTCATTGTTGCTGTGACACAAAGTGATAAAGTGTTTTGGGCAACGTGAAGAGGAAGTGCTGCTGCGCTGCCTGAAACACTGACAGACTTTCTCCCCCCCTCAGCTTGTGTTGTCAGAGATAAGGAGCCGGCAGCGACATGTGCTATTCTTAGATTTGCTCCCTTCTAAAGAGACATGTACAAGTCTGAACAGTAATCATTCGAATGCACACTGGAGGGGAAGCAGGCCGAGCAGGTCAGAGTTACAGAGGACACTGCTGGGAGAGAAAAACAAAAGTGTGGACGTCACTGAGTCGTAAATAAAACTGTCTGTGTCAAAGGATTAGCTCGCTGAGACTTTGTTCGCAAGCTGAATCATAAAAAAGTCATAATTACTGCATGTGTGGCCGTAAATAACAGTTGTTTTTCTCTTTAAGGAGTTCTCCAAGATGCCTTTTTATTTATTTATCGGTAATTATTTGGTCTGTTAAAGTGAGAAAACTGTGAAAAAAAAACCCAAAATGGAATCTTAAAAATTCTGCTTTTGTCAAACCAACAGTTTAAACCATAAAGATGTTTAATTCAAGATGACATAAAACACTTATTAGATTTGTCTGCTATTCCACTGAATAATGTAGTATTGTGCTGTACTATGAAAGGGCAGAGAACAGTCGGAAAAATAGCTTATAACAGACATAACAGACAACATCATAACAAAAATAAAACATCATTGAAATACTAAACATCCAGTGAAAGAATTATTAAAATTAGCACTTCATGAGTGTTTGTCAGTAGATTAAAGCAGCACAGTGGTATTTGTATAAAGCTTGGAAACTTCATGGATCAAAAAGGATTTTTTCTTTTAAAAACTGCAGAAGCTGAGATATATTTGGACATTCATCATCTGTCTGACTTCAGACAGTTTCTACCAGCGACACAGAGGAGACTATAGGTATGGTTTTGTCCTGGAGCTGTTCTTGTATCTGCTGCACTTGAAAAAATATTGTTTTGGCTCATTCATAAACAAACAAACAAACAAACAAACAAACAAACAAAACAAATAATATAATGCGACAGTGTGCATCAATCTTTTTGAATTACAACAACTTCTAATAAAATTATGTTCAACTCACAAATTACACTGAGTTTGGGACTTTTCATTTACTGAATATTTGGTACGTCAACACAAGTGTTTAAGCTGATTACTCATAAAAATTAAAGTTGCTCCAACTATTTTTTACACAATATTCAAAAGGAATTTTTACATATTTAATTACCATATTAGCAGACACAAGTTTTTGAGCTTATAAATTAAAATAAAATCAAGTTGCTGCAATAGGTCAAGATGAGGACTTGAAATTATGACCTCAAAATGAAGAAAAGTTTCCTTATCATGCCAATTTCATTAAGTTACATTAATTATTTTTAAAGCAACAAAAGCATAAATTTGAATTTTAATTACCCACAATATTAAATTGATGCAATTACCAACATTGTTATGTCAAAACAGCCCTTTAAAATAATGTTTGTGACTTATAAAGTTTATTTAAATCAGTCAATTAGAGCTTTTGTGCTTCAACAAGGTGATAGAATTACTTTTTAAAATCTACTATTCTACTATTTTCTCTATTAATCCTTTGGTTTATCAAACATAAGAAGTCTTGAAACATACCAAGCAGTTTAATTGCTTCTTTTTGGTCAAACTATAACCAACATTCAAATAGATTGAATTTACTATTGTGTAAAACAAGTCAAAAGCAGCAAATTCTCACTTCTAAAGAGCAAAATGATTCACGGATCATCACAACAGCTGCAGATTGCCTTTCTGTCCATCTACAAATCGATTAATCAACCATCTGCATCAGCTGCAGCCCATATTTTAGGGGATGAGTGGGTTTTAATGGGTTTTCCAGAGTCCCACCTCCCACTGTGTGTGTATTTGATGACAGTGCCATGTCTGTGTGTACAGCAGGGAGGCTCTCTAGATGCAGGATTAGGCTCAGATTGCTACAGCTGAGGCAGATGGTCCAGCCAGACCAGGGCTTACAGAGAGGGAAGACCAGGCCTGCTGGGGTTAAAGGTTCCTCAGTGAGCAGCCATGAGCTTCTTGGTGAGCTCCAGCTGGGCTTCATGGTGTTTAATGTCCTTTCAATGCATGAATAAATCAGACACAGCTTGGCCTGTGGAGGTGATCACACTGGGAGAAGATGGGACTTTTTCTTTTCTTTTTTTCTTTTTGTCTGTCTGACTGGCAGCTGTTTGGGCAGCTATATGGAACATATCGATGATCAGCGGTTGTATCGATCAGCCCTGCACTTCCCAACTAAACCACACCAACATATATGGCTGCTGCTCCACCATGTATAGCCAACCAGAGACAAAAGGCCAGAAAAACATGAAAACAACAGCATGTGCGCAATGCCTTCACCAAAAATCAGCCTTAAGCAGCTTATGTGCAGGCAGACCAAACATGTTTTTGATTTTAGCGACACCCCATCATCGCCACACCTGTGGGTGCTCTGTGGACACACTGGAGATACGAAGGCATGCGGGAGAGATAAACACTGACCTGACGATGGGACCGAGCTGCAGGATGTGCAGCAGCAGGATGAGCGGTCTGTCTCTGCTCAGGTCCCGGTGGATGAAGGTGAGGGTGAGCTGCACCAGCACGGACGGTACGAGCGTGAAGAGGAGCGTGAGTCCCTGCCAGATCTGGTCTCCTGCGGAGCGGTACGTGGAGCTGAGGTACAGCGCTGCCGTGGTCTCGGCCGTGAACAGAGACACCGACACAAAGATGGAACTGGGGAGTCGCATCCTCACTTCACTCCGCCATCTGAGGGACGCGGCGCGCTGCTGCTTCGCTCGGGGTGCGCACGTCCATTACGCGGATCAGTCGCTGAGGCGGCCGAGCCGAGCCGAGCCGAGCTGGACGGGACGGCGTTCAGTCGGAGGCACGCCGCCGCAGCAGCAGCTCATTCGATTTGAGAGGGAGGCAGGACGGTTTCTCAGAAGAGTGTCGTCCCGAGGAGAGACTGCTGGGGGCGCAAGAGGCGCTGCGCTCTCCGGTGCGCACTGAAGTGTCTGCTGGTGGGAAGATAACGCCCTGCACACAAGCTGTCATTCTGATGATGAGAGGACGGCAGCAGCCTGGAGGAAACTGCAGATGACACCAAGACACTATGAATTACCATGCAGTGTAAATGTCATTTTGAAGGAAAAAAAAGAGAAAAAAGTCTTGATCCAATCAAACATGTAAGCTGAAGATTCAAAGGCTGCAAATATAAAATGAAACACAACAAAACAAGCTGCAAACGACCCATGAGACAAACAAGTCATCTGCAGCACTAAAGTTTAAAGAGCAGATTCCCAAAGTGGCCACGACTTGGGCGTAACCACGCACTGTTTGGGGAGGTCGTGTCCCCCACACTGCTGAGTAAACACCACTCTATCCCCCGCAGTATTCACTGGAAAGTATGTTAAATATGTCTCCTTTTATGAACCCTCTCGGTGGATATGTCTGTGGTTATTTTCTATTCATTTTCAATGTGTTTGTTTTTGTGAAGTAAAGCTGAAATAAGACACCGACCCCCCTTTTTTGAATATACATTTGGTTGCGACCATGAAGCAACAGTGAACCGAAAGGACAGCTTTGGGCTGGTCCTCATAATAGTAATGATAAAAATAAGAACTTTATTTATGGAGGACCTTTTAAAAATAGAGTTGACAAAGTGCTTAGACAGACACACCAAACAGAAAAATAAAATGAAAAGGACACTTGGGGAGACAATATCACAAAAAAAAAGCCAGTCAGGCCGTACAGGGGAGATAAAAAGAAGCAAAAAAAATTGGAGAAATACATTGAAGATACAAAACTCAGAATTCCCATCTTAGTAGGAAGGTTAAGTGACTTTTGACTTCAAGTCTTGATGCATAGCTCATCTTTGGCATGGAAGTACGTTAAGGCCATAGTAATAAATTTATCCCAAGACACAAGTGAGATGACATTTTGGCATGCTTGACAGGCCCATATCTTTGCTCCTGTTATTGCTATACTGACAAACTTGGTGTCAAAGTGTACATTTTTGGGATCAAGGAATCCAATAAAATAGGTTCCAAGACTTAAAAAAAAAAACAATAATATTCTCCTTACCAGGACAGTTGAAGGTAAAATATGCAGTTCATTATAAAAAACCAAACAAACCACATGCCAAAAACACAGTCCATTCACAACTCAACAATCATTTAATAAATAACAACTCAAAGTGTTCAGTGTGTGTATTATGGATGCAGAGAAATTGAGTAGTGAGACAACAAGTTCATAACTGTGTTCACAGTTTAGAAGTAGGCAATGCCATACCTACAATTTTCTGGTGATGAAGACTGATAATTTAATGTAAACACATCACGAAGATGATTTTCGATTTAGATGTCTGCACCACTGTGGGAACATGAGCCATGACATCCACAGAGAGACATGCAAAGCAGCCTTTGCATGCAGCATTTGCAAGGTGCCGCACAGTCAGCATTACTCTTGCAAATGACAAATTCTGGCAAGTTCATTCAAACAGTGGCACTTGAAGTGTAGACAGGAGTTGGTGGAGAGTTTGGGGAATCCTGCTGCCATCTCCACAGACAGTGAGACTCTTGCATGATGTTTGACAAGCGTATTGCCTCATACATGTCCACTCTAAAGAGAAACATGATTAGTGAGACAAAGGCCCTCCATTATTGTTAATCATATTTATCATATTTATTATTATTATTATGCCCCTATACAAATTTGTCTTAATGTAGCTCGCAGGTAGACCTTAATGGACTTTAAATGTGATCAATAAAATCTGAAAATCAACCCTTAAATGACACGTAGCCAAAAGAGGGAAGCCAGGACTGGGTTGATGTGAAATTTTCTGTTCAAACTAACTTATGGTTGATAGGTCCTGGGAGCGGCTACTGATGTCTAACTCAGAAAAATCATGTTGGTGAATGTTATAAGATGCATATAATCCATGGAGGTATTTCAGTAAAGTTACCTTTTACAGCTCGCTTTCTCACATTTCTACACAGAGTGAAAACTGCAGAAGTCAAAAGCCTCAGTTTGTGAGTTTTTAGAGCTCTGCAGCATTTCAACTCACTGCCTTTGCTTGCTTCACTTCTCCCTCATATCATAGCCTTTCTATTAAACTCCTTCTAACATACAGTATGCCATCTTGATGCACCTGAATGCATCACCAGCGACGTTTCCTGGAGTCATTTGGTGTTTTGGGTCTTTCAGCGTTACACACTGTCACCCAGCTAGCAGGTAATGTTACCACATTATTGGCTAACATTACCTACAAGTTTAAATAATGTTTTAAAGACAGCATTTTAATGTAATGTTCAATTTTTTTTTTAGGATATTTCTTGTTTCAAGTGTTGTTCCAATAAGGTTAAACGTTATCAAGACATAGTGTTTTAATGTGAACATTCAGGGGATGTGTGGGGGATGTTGTCGGGTTGTATTACATGAAGAGAAGACCCACTATTCAACAAGTGTTTTCAAGACAACATCAAGGCTTTGTGTAAAACTTTTCTGTCATGTGATTTATGAACAAAGAAATATATATTTTTTCCTGCAACATTCTGAGGATGTTTTGAAAATGTTGTTGAGGAAACACATTATGGAACATCCTTTCATAAAACATTCCAATGACGTCATAACAAAGGAAGGATGTTCTCAATGCAACATCTGGAAGAGAAACCCTTAAGAATGTGTTTAGAAAACTTCATCCTGCTGTTAAAGGGCACATGAAGTATGGAATCACAGGCGTGCCATAAATAAATCTTTTAGAAAACAAGGAAATAGATGTGTAAATATAAAGAGGAATACATTTTTTAAAAATGGAAATATAAAGGTAAATTTTGTCTTTGCTTTTCCCCTGTCTCTTTGTTTTTTCCTTTTGCTTTTCCTTTTTGTCTTTGTCTTTTCCTTTTGTCATTGTTTTTTACCTTTGTCATTGCTTTTTCCATTTTGCCTTTGTTTTTAACTTGATGGACTGTGCTGTCAATCAAATAGCTTTGGGGCAGGGCTTTCTGTCCAGGGTGAGTAGTCAATACCTGATCACAGGATTCCTGCTTGGTGCTAGCTCCTAACGTCTGAGATACTGACTTCTGCACATCATGCTACAGAGTCCAAACAGAGAGAAATCCAGCCACTCCGATCCTCTAAAAGTGTCACACTTGTGCATTTGCAATTTGTGTTGTGTGTACTTCCTCTCAGTGCCAAGATGACATCACTTCCCTTTAGTGACAAAAAGGAAAAGCAAAAGGAAAAAGCAAACACAAAATGGAAAACAAAATGAAAAAACAAAGGGAAAAGAGAAAAGCAAAGACAAAATATACCTTTATCTTTCCATATTTGTTATTTTTTCTTTTATTTATTCCTCTTTATATTTACACATTTATTTCCTTATTTTTTTAAATAGATTTATTTTTTATTATGGCACTCCTGTGATTTCATAATGAAGCACTCAGTCAAGTTTTCATAATTCACTACATGTACTTCCACTCTATTAGGAAGGTATATGACAAACACAAAAAATGCAAGCATATAAAAGGAAAAAGAAGATTCTTTTGTGTCACAGGGTGAGTTAGCGTCGCAGGTTTAGAGACTGGTTGATGAGCGGGTGTTTAGAATGGTTGTAGTTCATTTTTTATTGATGACGGTCATTTTGGCTGCTATATTGTACAGCCAAGCTCCCATCAGATAACTCAGACGCTACAAAGATGTGATGGAAATCTGGCTGGAGGACAACAGGTGTTCAGTAAGACACATTCAGAGAGTTGAACTCTACTGCTGTCAGTGATGATGTTCTTATCAGACAGTTACATGTTTGTGACAGGTGCCAGTGAATACAACCCTTTTCAGTTTGCTGTTTAGCTCCATTTAGCGTTGTTTCCCTGCGGGGGATTGATGTCGCTGTACGGCTGCTTTCAGAGTATATTGAGCAAACCTCATTGAACACCAACGGGACAGTGTCAGGCTTTAATCTGTTGGTCTGGTGAACACATCGCTTGCCAGACTCCACCGCCTTCTCCTCGGTGTAATCTTCCTCCAGAAAGTGTTACTACAAACCCTGGAGCCCATCGAGGCTGTTTCTCTTCAGTGCCTCTAGCAGAGCATCACTACTGTTTTCTGTTTCAGCAGCATATTGTGAAAGTTGGCTGTTTTGTCCATGACTTTAACCCTGTAAAATTCATTTTTACATCCAGGAGTACTGCAGTAGTGGCCTCCCCTTGTCTTCTGATGATCTGTGGCTCCTCAGTCTTCATCTTTCACTGTCTCTATTGTCGACAATCTGTCTTTTACTGTCTGTCTTTAACTAAACCTGCGAAGCTAACCAATTGCGTAACATCACTGGTTGTCGTACTCTAAGATTGCAGAGTCCTTTGAAGAGAAGACACAAAAGAATCTTCTTTTTCCTGTTGTATGCTTCCATTTTTTGTGTTTGTTATAAACCTCTTGATCAGAGTGGAAATACACGTAGTGGATCATGTTAACTTGACAGAGGGCTTTTTTCGGAACCAGAAAGAACTACCAGCTGGAACCATTACAAGAACTTTGCAGAATTTTCTCAGAACATGTTTACAAGAAGAAAAAAAAATCTACCCAGCTGCCATAGATGAAGCTCCAGTTTGTGTCCACCCACTTGTATCTATGACATAACATATTGAAATGTCTGTTAAAACGCAGCTATAAATATGACTCAGGTAGATCAGAAACCTGTTAGATAATGTCTGAATCTTATAAAAAGGGTTTTCAGTCCCAGAATGTAATTCAGGGTTCTGCAGAAGCATTAATACACCTACTGAAGTCCTGCTTGCTGCCCACAGCCGCCTGCGTGTCAAATCCTTATAAAAGGCTTTAATAAATACCTGCAGTAGAAACGATAAGCGCTGCTTTAAACTCAGACTGATGTGCACATTCACGGCACAGCAGCGGTAATTTCATTAACGCAGGATCTGATTATGTTGTGTGTTCCTTCACACATCTGACTGATCAGCTTTGCCACACAGATTCCAGGTTCATACAGTGGGATTATTTACATTAAAGCTTCTCACAAAATTGCATTTCAGTGTTTTAATTTTGATATGTAGCTTTTTAGCAGCTGTAGTAAACCTGGGTGACCCTCACTGCACTGTCTGACCAGTCAACAACAGCCATACCTCTGTTACGGACATAAGTAAGGTTGTGACATGAAAGTTTATGTTATGTATTAAAATAACCATCATTTTTACATTCACTCATCTCTCCTCTTGCCATTTCCTTTTGCAGATTCCTTCATATCGTCTGGTAAACTGCTTCACATTCATAAAGAAAAGAGCCAAATGTAAGAATTTTGACAAAATGTGGACTATTCCCAGTATGTCACCTCGGCTGGTCCCTCATATGTTCACACGCCTGTAAATAGCCTGGTCCCTGCTGAGTCATGCGTTTGCACTCATGACATGCTGTTAAGTGCACGTGACATGAAAAGCTGAATTAATAAATTGCATTGAGCCTCTCATCTCTCGTGGTTATGTATATGATTTTTATGCCTTTTTGAAAATAATTATTCACATTTTGGTTTTGTTTACCTTGTTCTACATGTAGAACCACAACAATCTAATAATGCAACACTTGAAGACAATTTTTTATATACACAGGAGCTGGAATTGCAGCAGATTTTTTTTTTTTACAGAGAACAAGCGATGTTTTACTCTCCTCTTACTTCCATTCAGACCTGTGTTAGATTTTGCATCTGTTAGCCCTGAAACTGAATTATTATGTTCATTTTTAACATGTAATGTATAGATTTAATTATTTTCTGCTGTGTGTGAGTCCTGATTGTGTAGGAAAAAGACAAAAATTGTATACAACACTTTTACAACACTTTTTTTTTTTTTTTTTAACCTGGGCAGGAAAACATGGCAGGAGATGAATGAGATACACCTGTGAGCTGAAAAAAGTCACAGAGGAGATCAGAGTGAGTGACGACTGAAACTATTTCGAAATTGGATTCTGTTTTTGGACATTTTGGCTTAAAAAAACAAATAAAACAAATAAAGTTACTTCTATTCCAAAGTTGGCTGGATACACTGCACATTTCAGGGCGATACAGACAGTGAGCTGATCCTGAGAACAGGGTTGGATGAAACTCTTTGACCTGCTCGGATGGTGGTGGATGTCTGTGTCTATGTTGGACCGTCCAAAAGTTCTTTTCCTTTGAACTCCCTTCCCTCCTACTCTCTTCCCTCAGGTTAATGTGCAGCATGACTCCTACGCTGCTGCCCTCCTCGGTCCATCACACCTACACGCCTCACAAATGGACTGAACTGAACAGAACTGCATTCTTGCTAAACAGATTGCTCATTTCACCTCAACACATTTTACAAAACACACACAACATCACAAATCATTTCTTGAACTGGCCAAAACTTAACTAAGTACTGATGATGTGTTTTTTTTTTTTTCTTTTAACTGTAACAAAATGTGTGTCTTCATCACAATTAACAGTTTGATAACATGAAAGGTCGTCAGAATCATTATTAGTCCCCAGGAAGATGCTTCAATTTATGGTTTAAAGATCACCTTTTCGCATTAACCACAGCATTAAAGCCACCTGCATCATACTTTGTAGGTTCCACTTGTGCCGCCAGACCATCTTTGACCTGTCAAGACATGGACGCAGGACCTCTGTTGGTGTCCTGTTGTGTCTGGATCAGGGAGGTTGGCAGCAGACCTGTGGGGCCTCGGTGGATCAGGCTCATTCTGGCACATCCTGCATGAATAATCAGATGGGGTCTTGAGAGTTTGAAGGCTGAGTCAACGGCTCTTTGTCGTGTTCCTCGAGCTGTTCCTGAGCAGTTTTTTTTGTGGTGTGGCAATTTGCATTATCCTGCTGGATGCCATAAGGAACACTGTTCAGGTTGGTGGTACGTGTCAAGGTAATATCCACATTGAAATCTGGAATGAAGACTTTGGAAAACTGGTGTCATCTGGGTTGTTCCTTACATCTGGGTTACACTGCCCTCACCGTGGAGAAAACAAAGCAGCGGGATTCATAAAATACAGGAAATGCAACACTTTGCACTCTTAAATCGTGCTTAAAAGTCGTGAAGCGGTATCCTATAGGTCCCATAAGATGCAGGAGGAAACGATTTTGTTCTACAAGTTCCCATGGATCTCCACAACGAGGGTGTCTGTTGATATGCTGTTGGTATTATGAGTGTGTGCATCAGTGGTGTTTTTATGCATCATGACATGTACTCTAACAACAGTTACTCGATGTGTTCAATTTCCTTTAGGAGAATAAAGTTTATCTTATCTTTGGCTGAGTGCTGTCAACAAACAAGCACGAGACCTCAGCCGATGGAGCCCAGGGAACACCTTGTTTTGCACGGAAAGGATTTTATGACATGTATGCTGCTGCCTATAATAAAACCTCAGTTAATCTTTAGACTTAACTAAATTTGACCTACCTATGTATTTGCATATGATGATTTAGTATAAATGCAGTGTTACGAGGTACCGTGCCACATTCTTGCAGAGTCTGTGCAGGTATTCTGAGTCCTCTTTGCCTTACACTGAACAGTCTGTAGCATAATAACCAACTGTTCTTGTTGACCGTACAGGCACATTTCCAAACCTACAGCACCTAGTCTGCACTGATGCCGCTCCCTAAAATCATTACTAGGCGTGTCAATGTAATAATACAACATCCTGACAGTCACAAAGACATAAACAAATACAGTTGCAGGTGCACGGAGTTTGATGGCAGTTTTACAGCCGGTACATGTGCTTTTGTTTATACTGTACAGATTCTGCGGTTAGCTTTCGAAACTGGATGATGTAGTTCCCTGGATCTCCATTGCATTGTAACAAGCTGATCCATAGTTTCACTTGACCTGTCAGTGGTTTTAATGTTGTGGCTGATTGGTGTCTTTATTTGAGGGCATTCAGGAGTGTCTTTGAGGATTTTTGGGTTGAAGTAAAACACTATTTCTTTTTCTTCATCTGGACACTTTATTAGTAACAACAATCCTGTAGATTTTGTTTTGAACAGCTTGGCTTGCAAAAACAGCACACATGCACGAACAGCTTATAAATGTTCCACAACAGGCACAGTTAGCATTGGGAAACCGCTTTGGTTTGCTGTTATTCACAGGCCTTTTTTTTTTTTTCCTTACCAACTATGCCACATGTTCATAAACACTGCCAAAAGTATTTTCAGTTTCCAGTGCTGTCCTTTCTTTTGATTCTGAGAGATAGGATTATATCCACTGTGTTAGAAATTTGTTCTTAAGGCCTCATTGTCACATTTATGTAAAGAAATCACGAACTATAAGTTCACATAAGCTGCAAAGAGTCGCCTCTTGAATAGACTGAATTGAAAGACAAATTTGATCTTCACACTGACAACACGTTTGACTCTGTTCTTCTCTGTCTCCATCACAAACTAAAGCCTAACAGTTTTTTTTACACAGGGTAAAAGTCATAGCAAATCACAGCATATTGAACACTTTGAAAGTCCCCACAGAGAAACTAACACAGTTTGAAACATCGATAGATACAAACAGCTGTCACGCGGTATAACCTCAGCTCAAACGGGTGAGTCACAATATTGCACGGCGCAAACAAAGTGAGACTTTTATCAGGACAATAAACAACAAACAACTACCTCAAAATTTACCGGATGTTGCTCCCTACCCTGTTTTTACGATCTGGAGATTCCGATATCAAAATCCTTCCTTTAGATTTATCACTAAAGGTTGTGACAACAGCAATTTGAGAGATCACGAACCCTAAAGACATAAACTCAAAGGTCTGCGATACGAGCTGGTGAAGTGGTAGAAAAATTTGAAAGGCATTATGTGACAATTGTTTTTCATTTTTTCTGTTGTTTTGAATGTGATTTGGGTGTTATTACCATTTACTCTTAGCTGTTGATGTTGTTCGTGCTTATGCATTTCTGACCTGAGCGCAGCATCTTGGGTGAATATGGTACAAAACTCCTAGTGTTTTAGTGCAGTGGGGGCCTTCTTTAGACAGAATCTGCACCGACAGGTCTCAGAATTTGGGGCCTTTGAGGGATGTGAACAAGAAGTGTAATGTCAATGGAGTCAGTGAGTTAGTTTTGGCCTGCAACTTGATTTTTTGTTAGCCTACATGTGCCAAAGTAGCAATAAACAGTTTTTATTTTGCACTGTATTTCTATTACTGCATTACTTTGATACCGAAGCAAACTTGATAAGTCTCAGGCAAGTTCTGGAGTTACAAGAAGTGTCTTTTTTATGCATGTTTACTCACAATGGACATTGGAGGATCAGTGTTTCTACGTCAAGTGTCCCCTTTAACACACTTTGAAGCTCTCTGCTTTAGTGCAATAGACTACATTAGAAATTGAAAAGGGCAACATTACACTAAGTGCATTAAATCTGATAAAGCCTGGAAGCTGAACATCCACTTTATACACAAAACAAGAGCATTTTTCTACTGCAACTGATCACAGCGTCCGTCCGGGTTCGTAAGTTTCTATCTGTCCAGTTCTTAAGGGATTTCAGAACGGGGGGGAAGGAGTGACGTCCGTTCGGGTCAGTGAGCAGCAGTAACCCGGGGGTTCGTTCACACAAAGACGCTAAACAGAGGGAACTCTGACTGGTCGGGCTGCAGGAGGTCGACCAGGAAACAAACCGTCCCCGACAGGCCTTCAAACAGACTGTAGACGCTGGTGACTGAGTGCGAGCCTGCTTTAAACTCCTCTGTATAGAGAAACTCTGCAAACCTGTGGGCAGAGGGGAGAACAGGGTCACATGAATGGACATAGACAATGCAAGTTAATGGATTACAGCTGATGGGAAGGCAGAGCTGACGACACTAAAGCTGCACCCGCAGTGTATTCAAGAAGAAGAGGAGGGTACATGACTCTGAAAAAGAGTTTCTACATTTACATGAATTTCCCTTTTACAGCATTTATAAAATCACTTTTCTGCCCAGAGTTAGACGATAAGGTTAAGGTTTTTGTGCTCAATATGAAGCTGCAGCTGGGGGAGGGTTAGCTTAGACCAGCATAAAGACTGGAAATAGAAGGAAACAGCTAACCTGGCTCTGTCCAATGGTGACAAATTCTACCCACATGATTTTTGATGCTCATCTTGTATATGCAGTCTGATGAAGCAAGGAGAACACAGACCTATATACAGGGGAGACTAAACAATGCTCCACATGTGCATGGCTCAACGACAGCTTTTCAGGACAAGACTCAGCAGTCGACCTACATCTAAAGGATAAGGAATACTCCTTTGACTTCAACTGGACAGAGAATACAGACAGTTTGAGAGAGGAGAAGAGGACGCCATCGGGCACAGAAGGGGATCTATGAAACTTATCAGGTCCTTATAATGCAGTCTTGAGCTCTTCCCCCAGACAGTTTCACCACCACTAACATCTTGAGTCATCCTTCACCAGGCAGACAAATAATTAAATAATCATTAACAGGGCATTAGTTATGAGTTTGGGGAGGATAATAATATATATCCCAACAGCCAGTTAGAAGTGAAGAAGTCTCTTGGACGAGAGATGAAACTTCTTCAAGAACCAAAAAGAGAAGTCTTGTTGTTTTCTACTAAAGGTTTTAGCACACTTCTCTGTTTAGGATGACGTTATGTGCCCAAACATCTCTCTTTGTCTTTGGTTAAAACCAGGTTTGCTGTTTCCTCCTATTAGCTGTCTTTGTGCTAAGCTAAGCTAACCATCTACTGGCTTCACATTGAACACAGAGAAGATCAGTCTTCTCATCTTACGCTACAATAAATCAGCAAAACATATTTCTCAAGATTTTCAGCAATTACATTAAATTAACTTACTTTTTTTTTTTTTTGCATAATTTAGATGTATTTCCTATGTGTGACTCATCTACATGAAATCAGTCACTTTGTACCTTGGGCTACATCTGAGATACAGTATGAATTATGTTAACACATGATAAAACGTTGATTTTAGGTTTATTATTTCGATCAGTCCATTTAGTTGTTTTCTTGTCCCATGATTTGCGTCATGTGGCAGCAACATGCTGCTTTTGTTTGTGCATAATAGCACAAGGCGCAATGCAACTGATTTTGTGCAGATGGGTCACGTATTTGTTGTACTACTGCCTCTATACTCACACTATTTGGTATTTATCCCCTTTTGAATGACTTTATTGGTACACTTCGGGTTGGATAGGTAACTCTCATCACAGTGGCTATCAGCATATTGGTGCATAAACGGGTGTGGTGACTGTTCTAAGACACCGTGGCATGATGAATAATACATTTGTGGTTCAAAGTCTGCAGCTTTTTTTGTTATTATTGCTGTTTGTCAGCAGCATGTGATGAAAACAAAGCTAAGTATCAAGAAATACATGCCAGCTACACATATTAGTGTTTTTAAGGTTGATTCTGACATTCATTTAGACAAATTTTGCCTCTGGACAACATATAATTAACCAAAAGTAATTTCCAAAGCAGGAATGAAATGCTTTTCTACTTGAATTATATTCATGCATGTGGTGAAGCCTTGGAACACCATTCAGACTCTCATGTATTGAGATCAAACTAACAGAAGGTGTAATTTAAAACTTGTAGGACAAGAAGGATTTACAGCTGACAGACTAGAACTCTGAGGGAAACAGTAAGATGAATCTCTTGCCTCTGAGCACGGTAGATGTATTTTGAGTTGCCTGTGAGCCGATAAAGCAGGAGGAAGACGTAAGCGCTACCCGCAACTCCGTGACAGATCCCAGGTCCTTTCTTCAGCAGCCCTTTCTGCCACACCAGCTCTCCACTGCGGATGCACGTGTCCAGATACTGAGGCTTCTTATTGATCAGATAGGCTTTTGCAAACAGATAAGCCACACCTGCAGGAGAGGAGATGTGAACGTAACTGGGAGTCACAGTCTAAACCGTTAACATGATGCTGATGATTACTGAGCGTACCGGGGGCTCCGTGGCACCAGTGCACCAGTTCGTTCTCTCTCTCGATGATGGCTCCCAGCTCTGCGGGCCAGTTACAGTTCTGCTCCTGATTCATGAGGAAGTCGACGCTCTGCCACACCAGGTCCTTCTCCGGCCCGCTGAGCACGTCCTGGTAGCTCAGCAGCATCTGCAGCACTGAGGACAGGCCGTGGGCTGCACCTGACAGGAGGGAGGCCGAGGACGTCACACATGCACCCACAGGAGCAGGCATGCAGGGAAACAAAATGCCAGGCGCACAAACACAACCCAAGCACAGGCATTCACAAGGGACTACCGGAGGACTTGATTTTGTTTTCATTTTGCCTTTTACACTCTCACCTGTGGCTCACTATACAAACTTGACAGTCTTGTTTCCAGGCACTGAGGAAGTCCTCTCTGTACATTAGCAGGTGCACAATCAAACTTTTAGTGTGTAGGAATATGAAGTTGACCAGAATTGACATGTTGAACTAAGACTGTAAGCTGTATATTCATTCACTAAAATGACATTGGAACTGTCAAAGAATGTAACTGATACTCCAGAGTATTTGGAATCATGCTTCAGTGCAGTTATCTTGAGGTCTCTTAGGTTGAACATTTTAGCCCTCTGAACCCCAAGATCCAAAAACAGTAGGCATGTTATTCTTAGAAAATGCCAGATTACACCATTTATCATTGCCACAAAGTGCAAAAACAGAACCGCCCTGGAACTGCTCATTGGTGATGTGCCATTCCAGTGGGAAACTTAACAAATCAAAACTTAAAATTTTGATATTTCATCAAATCCACTTGATTATAAATGTTTCATTTATAAATTCTCCCCTCCAAAATTTGCACAGATCCAATTCTGTAAAAAACAGAAGGAAAAAAAAACAAATCTGTGCTACTAAATGGGAATCCATTAATGACTCTGCTGTAAACAAAAGCCAGACAAAAAAAAATCTGGGATTTTTTGGCTCAACTGCAGGCTGTGCTTAGAGACAAGAAATGAATTGAATTTAAAAATGTAAAAATATCAAAAGTATGTAGAGTAACACCTGTTGGCACTTGGATAAATGTTTAAGGATTTATGGCACTGTAAATTTTGTACTGTATAGAAGACATTTTACTTCTAGTCATGGCTGTGCTGTTTGTATGGAGGTGCAGGACTTTATATTGTAGTAAAAAAAAAAACAGCCCACAGGAGCAAAAACTACCTCGACACTGCTCAAGGTTTCAGAGGGCTAAGATATTGATCGAATCCCTCAGAGTGATCAAGAATAGACACATGCTTTTATCTGAAAACAACAAGTAATAATGAGGCAGCAGAGTGGCCCTTTGTAGCCTCACAACCACATCTCCAGACAACAAAGTCAATATTGGACGATTCTGCAAAATGATTATGATCAAGACAAAGCTTTTGTCCTACATCCAATGCCAATGTTTTCAAAAGTCTCACATTCTACAATATCTGGCAACCACAAAAAGAAAGCTCAAAGCAGCTATATTCAAGAATTTTGCGCAAATAATATGTCAGGATGATGTGAAAACAATGTGAGAAGTGTAGCTTGACGTGATGAACCTGCAAAGAACTATGTAGCGCTGCAGAGCATCTTTGAGACAACTGTTGGTTTAACCGCCCACAGCTTTAGTGTTCTGGTTCGGTTTCATAGTGTTATTTTTAGTTACAGCGTACAAAACAGCAAAACAAAAACAACACTGTAGACAGCCTGGCAAGTTCGTAACTCGCTGACGAACACAGAGGAGTGTTTACCAGCTGGAGGAGATATTACCCACAGGAGCTGGTAGAAACCAAAATCAGAGCAAGAAGAGTGTGAATACTGGACTTACATTTATTAAGTGGTAAGAAACAAAACTACAAATGAAGGCTGACGTTGCTCCATGACTGCTAGATGCGTGAGTAAGCAACTGTTTGCTAAGAAGATGGCAAAATCAGAGTCCTAATTCCTCAGAATGGGTGATTGGTTTACATACAGTTAAGACAGAAAGCCTGTTTTACTTTACTGGGAAAAATTCTTCACTTTTACAAGTTATTTCTGACCATTTGATAAACTAAAATGTGTATTGTGCTTGAGTAAATTACATCTCAATTGGCGTTTTTACTTTAACGCTGGCAAAAACCTCACAGTGAGTCCTCCAATTGAAAAAAAAACCCTGATGTTAACCTTAACATTTAAATATTAACTTAATTTGTCACTGTTACATTTACGTTTGTTGTCATCCCCCTCAAGGGGTCAAAAAAAGAGGTCATGGGAAGTTTAACATTTGGGATTAGAATGTGGAAAACAAACTATGGTTAAAGTATAATTAAGTTTATGCAAATTAAGCACTTGAAGGTGGAGGACAGTAGTTATGCTCAATAAAACTGCCAGTATTAATTACAGGTCTGCGACGGGACACAAACTCCAGCCTCCTGAATGAAAGTCAGTTGTGCTACAGACCCCTCCACCACCCCGACCTCCACTACATGAATGACACTTTACTGCATTGGCATTGGATGTACAGCAGAAAGTACAGAATCATCAAATATGGAGGTAATTCAGTTGAATCCTGGACAGAGTCTTCTGGAAATACTGCTGAATACATGCAGGGAAATCACAGCTCTCTGAGGCAGGAAGGCTAGTGTCTGTGAGTCCCTTCAGATCTGAAGATGACTGATCAAACAAACAAATCAAATGACAAACCCCTACTTCAATGCATTTTTCCAGACAGGCAAACTGTAGCACATGCAGCACCTTAGACAGGTGTCTTCATTAAACATCCAGATGTTTTTATTGTTAAAAGAAAGTCTTAGAGTCCTTCATTTCACTTCCTTATTATCATCATCAAAGTAGCTGTTGCACCCATGCAAAAGTGTCCAGCGGGGCTGTGCTTACTATGAACTCTGTGTTGGTCTGAATGTTACTGAGGATCTCCAATCCTCACAGGTCTCTTCATCTGATGCAATTAAGGAAAGGACAGTTAGCTTTACACACATTGACACACAAATCCTGGGATTTAAGAAGATCCTCCTGTAGTCCTGTAGTCTCTGAAAGTGAGATTTACACTGAAATCTTGGACTCACACTGGAAAGTGTATTAACTTTAAAGACTTACAGAAGGATCTATCTTTTCACAAAGCTGCAGTTCTTACCGAGGTACTCTGTTCCATAATATGAATACATGAGGGGGAAAGGCTTTCTCTTCCTCCTGGCATACTGTCTTCCTGATTCGATGATGGCCTGGCAAATGGATTTGATTTGATCTTTGCTCAGGATCTGCAGAACAGAGGACATCACACAGTTCACTGCAACACAGCTATCAACAGAAATAAGCACATCATTGATACCTCTAATTGAAGAAAAGTAATAGGTCTATTAAAGGCAGTGCAGGCGCTTCCACAAATTGATTAGACCTCTGCTCAGATTGAAGTTGGGCGGAGATGTGCCACAAGTCGACCTTTTCAACAGGAAGCACAGGTAAAAGCATTAACGATGACTGTATTTATCTAGCGACGTCCAGTCCAGCATGGAGGCTCGCTGCTGAGGCTCCCTGGGAAACTTCATGGAACAGAAAGTCATCATCGGCGCTTACAGTTCCACCTTTTCCTGCCAGGACCATTTGAAAGGTCTGTTAAAATGGTCTGTGATGTGACCACGATGTCCACAAAGGGTCCACATTAACAGAGGCAAGGCTATAATTTTCTTGTCCCACAAAGATGAATGGAAGAAGCTGTCAGTCGACCTCAGGCCCACACAGTCCTGAAGTCTAATCTGCCAAAATAACTACAATCACCTATGTGAGTGTACCATGGAGGCGAAGAGCCCGTCAGGTTCAGACTACATATTATTTGTGTCTAAAAAAAATGGTCACGATGTCAGGTTAGTCAGGTTTGTCTTTATTACCGGAAACAAAAATGCAAACAAACAGTAGGAGGAAAGTTGCCGACCGATTTGTACCCTGATAAAAAAGAAACGGGTAAGTGGTTTACATTTTCCATCCTTTAGCCCATTTTTAAATTTGTGTTTTGGCTCCTGTGTGTCAGCGTCACAGACACGTTGGTGAAATTATCATGTAACCAAAAACTCATATCATCGAATCCAAATATTGCAGCTGAATTGGGGTCTGCTGTGGTTATTAATCAATTCAGTGCACTATGTCCCGATCATATCAGAAGATCTCGAGTGTTTTTAGCATTAACTAGTGCACCTAAAACACTGTAACAAAATGTTCTGCCAAATTACATTAAATGCTGTGGTGCCTGTATTTTACTGGCTTTATTATTATTATTATTATTTTTTATAGTGTTAATATTGCAATTTATTTACAAAGTCAGTTACTGCAAATTTGTATCAGTATATTTGACGGTATCAACGACTGCCATCAGCATTTTAAAAAGACTTTTACAGTGTTACTATTGAAAAGTATTTTAACAGTAAATTATTATACATTCATAAAAACAATGTCAATTTAAAAAGTTATTTGCCATTTTTAAAAATCTTTCAAATATAACAGTTTTCTTTCAAATTATATAAAATATCTGTTTGAAAACAAAACTATGTTTGGATGATTTAAATATAGTTATTTTAGTGTAGTTTAGGTCAAACACTGCAAAAGAATGAATTAGAGATTTTTTTAAATATAGATTTTTTGATGTGGATGTTATTTACAGTTGTTGCTTGATTTTTGTTTGTTTGCAGTTAACATCTAAATAATTGCAAGTATCTGTAAAATAATCTTATTTTTTGCTGATTTAAGTATAGTAAAGATAAAGTAATTTAAAGTGAAATGTGAAAAAACAGGGCTGCAAGGTGGCTCGCTGGTTCGCGTCCCGGTGAGGACACCCGGGATCTTTCTGCATGGAGTTAGCATGTTCTCCCCGTGCAGCGTGGGTTCTCTCCGGGTTCTCCGGCTTCCTCCCACACAGTCCAAAAACATGTTGATGTTAATTGATGATTCTAAATTGTCCGTAGGTGTGAATGTGAGTGTGCTTGTTTATCTGTCTCTAAGTGTAGCCCTGTGATAGACTGGTGACCTGTCCAGGGTGTCCCCTGCCTTCACCCTAAGTCGCCCTAAGTCAGCTGGGCTCCAGCCCTGTGCAACCCTAGTGAGGATTAAGTGGTGTATAGACAATGGATGGATGGATGTGAAAACAAACAAACAAACAAACAACAATTACCATTTAAAAAATATACTTTTTTTTTTTTGATGTGGACATTATACTTACAGCTTTGGCCTGTTTTTGTGTGTTTTGTTTTACAGTTAATATGTAAAGGAATACTTCCCCCCCTGATTTTACAAGATATTATCTATATTTAACAAAATGAGAACATCTATGAAATAACATGTTTACAAGTTATTTGTCGTTTTTCAATCTTTAATTTCTTTCAAAAAACTGGAACTACCTGTATAATAACAGATTTTTATTAGTATTTTTTGATAGACTTAATTACAGCAAAAAAAGGTGTCATTGAAAATAGAACTTTGTAAAAGCCTGGATATGGACATCATTTTACAGATATGGCCTGTTTTCTGTGTGTTTGCTTATTTTACAGATAATGTCAATAATACTTTTGTTTGATATATCGGAAAAAACACTAATATTGGTCGATACTGATGTGGTCACTGATATATCGTGCATCCCTAAAATAAAGGCAAATATCTTTAAGAATAAAATTTATTTCTAGAATTAACACGTAAATTACTCATTTTCTTTTGTGATTTTACTGTACATTATCTGCAATTTAACGAAACTTAGAAAAGCTGGATAATAAGAGTAAATTGTTCCAAAAAGTACAGTTAAAAACCTGGATGTAACTTTTTTTGTTGTTGTTGTTTACAAGCACATACAGATGTACACAAACCTTGCTGACCTCGTGTGTTTGCGCATGCTCACTACAGAATGGAGTGATAACATTTCTAAGTGGTCCCACAGTTTCCAAAGTGCTCCCTCCTCCCGTGTGGCAGCAGCTCACCTCTATTCCCAGCTTCTGCTTGAGCACCAGCGCTGCGCACAGGTACCCAGCCCGCCCCACGAACAGCTCGTCTGAACCGCACTCCAGGAAATTGATGGGCGCACACACCTCCCACAGGTTACGAAATTTGGTCAGCGGCTTAACGAAATCAGCCAAACCCAGGGATTTGTAGATGAGAGCGGCCACCGCGTAGATCCCCGCCCCGCCGAGCAGGAAGGCGGCGCGCATGTTCTTGTCCGGCTCCACGTCCACGTACCGGAGCGACACGTCGATGATTTGCTTGGCCGTCTTCAGGTAGACCTCCCGGCGCTCGGAGAACAGCGGGCACTCGCTGACGTGATACAGCATGTAAGCCACCCCGGCCGGCCCATCGTACAGCCCTCCGTCGCAGTCGCTGATGTCGATGGGAAGCTTTTTGAGGATTTTGTCCACGGTGGCGACGACGGCGGGCACCACGGCCTGCGCGCCCTGGCCCGGCAGCAGCGCACCTTTGTAGTCGGAGAAGCGGTTGGTAAAGCAGCGAGTGTTTTCCATCACCGGTGAAAAAGGGGAAACGCAGATCTGTGCTCGCTGCTCCAGGTACCCCAAAGGATGAGAGAGGAGCGACACTTTGATTGCTCATCCCATCCTGTCCGCTCTCAGCTGATTGGATGCGCGCAGTGATGGTTCAGCCTCATATTGGCTGATGGGACCTGCAGCCTGCGCACGTTAAGCGCTCATGTCTGTACACAGCTTTCACATCCTGTTACCTCACTCTTCACAGGTATAAATCCCTTTAAAAGTTGCAACAAAACACACTCATCTGGGAGTTTCGTAGGTTTACAGGTGTTCTTCATTCATTCAACCTCAGGAGGCCTCACTCACAAGAAAACATGTAGTCATACCTGGTTTCCAATACAACATACTATTTCGTGCATTTAAGATTTAAAAACAAACTAAAACAAGAGAAGCTGAAAGTAAGATAATAATAAATGAAAAACCTGAGTCAGCCTCTCCTGCAGGTCATTTAAGGTCACAAGTGAAAAGTGAGCAGTCAAAACAGCTGGACCCTGCATTATATTCCAATCATTTGAGTGTATATGATGAGAGCCCAAATCAAAGTCAGCAATTAAGTGATCAATAAGGGGGTAAAAAAAACCAAAAACATTAAGAGCTTCATATATATACAGGCCCATCCAGCATTGCCATACTACTCACAAGGATGAGTACTGTAGTTGTGACCTGTAATAAACTTTATCTGCAGTGATAAACAGTGTACAGGAAGTTGTCTCTGATGCATGCACGTGTAAAATGTAGCTATAATCCAACGCCCAGTCATTCGGGTCATGGAAATCCTACAAGTTTACAATAACTTGACTTCTGTTTTTGTGAAACTGCCAGATCAGGGCTGACTCAAGATGTTAACGATGATGATAAAACCATCTGAGGTGAGATCCCAAGCATTGTAAGTACCTGATAAGTGGTGTCGTAGATCCTCTCTGTTCAAAGTTGGTGTTCCAGTTTAACACAAGTGGCATCTTTAGCTCCTCTCTCAAACCATCTGCCTGCTCTGTGTAGAATGCGAGCATCCAGATGAGTGTTTATTATCCTGCAGATGCTGAGTCTTGTCCCAATTAACTGTCTCTACTGAGATAAGCCACATGCCTGTGGAGCTGTTGTTTAGTCTCTATATAGGTCTGTGCACACCTTGTTGGATTTTACTGCATGTACAATGTTGCTCAGCTTGTGTTTGGCTGTTTTATCCTCAGGGTGAACCAGCTTTCATCTCATGTGTGGCTGGATCTTAAATGTTCCGGGATGCACAAGAAAATCCTTTTCAGTTTAAGCCTTAGTAGGAGTTTTCCTGCAAACTAAAAATTTTGTGCTAATTTTCTGTTTATTATTTTGATCATGTAGCTACTGCTTGGTGTACAATTATTTGCCCCTCGGAGAGAATAAAAATATGCTCAGCTCTTGATCCTTGACAGTGATTTAAAAAAAAAAAAGAAAAAGAAAAAGAAAAAAAAAAGGTAATTATGGATGAAGTTCCAACACTGGCATTTAAGAGCAGATCAATAGAAAGATAACATAATAATATAACATTTTATAAACTGTGTCAGCTGTAACATTGTGAGTTAAACTGCTACGAAACTGTCAGCATGGTTGCCATAGCAAAACAATGTTCAACTCAAACCATCTGAATAATTCCCACAAACATAAGCGTAACTCTCGTTATTCTTCTATTAATGTGGTTGTTGTTGTTTTCGTGTTTCTGTCAAGCATTAAATTAATGTCAACCAATTCTTTTTTGTTTTTTTTTTTGCTCTGTCAGTTCATCATCTTTACCACCAGGTGGCAACAGAATCCAGCATCTCAGCCGGCTGCTGTCCCAGGTGCTGAAAGAGCAGCAACAGAAGAAGAACGGGCAATAAAATAGGGATCAAAAGGTCAGGTGGTCTCTGGGTCAAAGAAGTAGTTTGAAGTGATTGTTAACAGTACTCAAAGGAAATTCAGTCAAACAATCACAAATAGATGCAAAACAACCACAGTGAGTGGAATGACTGTTAACAGATTAGAAATGGACGCAACAACAACAAAAGAAAACTGATGTCAAAAAGACAATTAAAGATTGCAAAAAGATCCATAAGACAACAAAATGACACAAAATGATCACAAAATGATCACAAAAGATGTCAGAATTACCACAAAACAACACAATATACTTGAAAAAGACACAAATGAATCACAAACTGACCCAGAAAGGCAATAAAACCCTGCAAAAAGATCCATTAGGAGATTCAACATGATCACAAAAAATGCAAAAAAAGACACAAGATGACTGCAAGTAGACACAAACAAACCACAGACCAACAAAAAGCACAGTAATATGGATTTTCACTTACACAGTCCAGACAGTTTCACAACCAAAACCCAGAAGAATCTCATAGACTGAAGCAAGATACAATCATTTTAATGCTATTCAGGACTTTTGGGATCTTTTGGACCCCAGGCCATTTGGTTTAGGTGACAGGTATCGTTTCTTTTATTTTTGAAGATTTTCTTCCAAGTATAAAAAGAGAGACATTGGTCATGCATTTGCAACCAAAAATATGTCAACTTATTAGAAAATGTATTTAACATAGTATAAAAGTCTGTAATGAATACCAACTAAAAGTTTGCACATATTCTTTCTTGGGGTCCAATGGACCCTGAAAGACCTTCTACGTGTGGCAACATGAAAGTCCTGAATAGGGTTGAATTAAGAAACACATTAAATATTCAGAGTTGTAAGAGATGACAGGTATCATCTACATTCATTACAGCAGTATCACACTGTGTGCCATTTCAAAGATGATTTTAGTGGTTATCTGAGTCGGGGTTGTGTCTGTGAAGCTTTGAACATTTTCATTTGAAATATGGAATAAGAGAGATAAAAACAGAAAAGAAAGATGATTAATGCCATGGAGATATGACTGTGGAAGCAAAGGTCGTCTTATGAATGCAGAGCTAATTAAATGTTTCAAGACTGAATACACTTGTTTTCCTGCTGAAACCACAATAAAGCAGAGTACAAGAAAGCTGAACAAAAGCAAAGCCCTTCTGTTTATTAATCTTGACTGAAAGAAAGATGGAAAGGTCCTCACTTTGACATCAACGGAGAACCCAAGTGGTTGCAGTTACACTCACAGCTCTGAGAACCATCATTTTCTCCAGTCAGCTAATGCATGAAATAGCAGAAATATCAATATGAGCTTCTGGAGATGCTTCCTGTTTGTGAGTTCAGATCAAAGCCTGGCTCAAATGCAAATAGCCATTTTTCTTTGATGTCCATTTTCTTCAAGTCTTAGCAGAATATAATACACATTTGGTGAGAGAACACTCTTGAGAATTACCAGAGCTGCAACCATTCTGTTCTTTGAAAACATATTTGGCAATTTTGAGTAAAATTCTCGGATGTGGACAACAGAAGAATCTGGAAAATTAAAAATGGTTGAAGTCCAACTCTGAGAGGCATATTTTCATCTGTCTTTTCTGCTGCACTGATGCAAGAAAACTCAATTTGCATTTATATTAGAAAATAATTGGAGACTCAGTTGGGCCTCATCTGATGCTCCAGATACTAATGCGTCTATATGACTCAAGTATGAGATCCAGAGACCTTGGAGAATGTGTAGGTGAAAAGTTTGCTGATGACTGAAGACAAACAGAGAAGTTTTAAAGGTCTAACCTTCACTTCCGCAGCGAAGAAAAGAAGCAGAATGCCGAGGACAAGGCGAATAAAAGCTGCCGTCCTTCTTCACCGAGTTGTTGAGAAGCAACTGATTTATCTGTAAAACCTGAACAAATTAGCAGCTACTTTTAATTTAAACAGCATAAAATGTAATTTGAACTCTTTTACCAACATTTAATATTATACTTCGAGCATAAAAAATTTCCAGCAAGCTTGTATTTAAAGAACAAATTTTTTCATGTTTGTCTTAACAACAGGTCACACACATAGAGGGATTTGGGTTTTTGGTTCACTTTTGAAAGCAGTTCCATCTTCCTTCTGTGTAAATAAACAGAGTAAACCAAAACCGGAGCTGATATGAGACTTCAGAAGTCACGCTTTATCAAAATCAGTTGGTATCTGATGCATGCCAAAATAAATTATTAAATGATATGACTACTTCTCCACTGCAGCTGAGAAAGAAAACACTGCCGAGTGTAACTGTCAGGCTTGCATGCATACACTTTGACTTACAAATGAAACATAAGTATGTTCCACTGATTGACAGCATAACAATGGACGATGCTTTACAGCTTAACCTTCACATTTAATTATTCTATTCAGTACAGTTTATACACAATGGTGAAATATTATGCAACCAAGCTATAGAATTCTATTTAAATCGTAAAATCAATCCTAAAGCGATAGTGGAGAGAAGCCACTATCACAAGTCCAATGGACCCCCGAAAGACTCTCTACGTATGGCAACATGAAAAGTCTGAATAGGGTTAAACATAGCAATCTCTGTCTTGTTTTTATTTAAAATAATAAAGTTAAATTCCATCTAGGTTTTGACATCTTTTACACAGTCCAACAAGGGCTGCACTGTCTTTACTTTTAGCTTTTTTTTGTTAGATAAAGCTGTATATCATCTGCAAAACAGTGAAAAGAAATATCATGTTTCTAAAATATGGACCCCAAGGGCTGCATATATGAAGAAATCAAGACGGGGCCTAGAATGTATCCTTGAGTTACACCACAATCAGGAGGGGCTGCAGAAGAAGAGTATTTGCCTAGGTAAGCTGGAAAGCTCCTATCTGCCGGATAAGACTCAAACCATTTGAAGACAGTGCCTTTAATGCCCACACAATGGTTGGGACGAGATACACAGATAGCATGATCCACAGTAACAAAGGCAGCAGTCAGTTCAGAAATACCAGGATGACTGCATGTTGCAAAATCAACCAGTAGAAGAAACCGTCTTAAAAATACTGTTTCAAATCTAACAAGTCAGACTGAAATTGAAAGAAATGGTAATGAAATTCTACAATGAACAGATGACATATTTTAATTTATAAAAAACAAACAAACATTAGTTCTGAATATCTGTCTCAGTGTAGACATCAGCTTCAGTGAAGAGCAGATAAAGAATGTAAATGCAACTCTATAAATTACTTGATACTGCTTGTATTTGTGGCGATATTATGTCTAATTACAGTATAAAGCATGGTTTAATACAACCTGATCAAAATCTCCCACCAGCTTCCTTTGTGTGAAAGTGAAAAGCATTTGTTCTGATGATCTAAGAGACCTGGAGGTAGACTACGTGGAAGAGACGTTCTGAATTGTGCTCAGGTGCCAACTCATGCATGGCTCTGTAAACAAATAAAATAACTTTAAAATAAATTCTATATTTAACAAGTAGCCAGTGCAGGGATGCTACCAGTTACAAGTCAGCAGCTGTGGATGAGATAAAGAGGACTGGCCAATACCCAGGTGCAGAGAGTTACAGTAATCTAGCCTTGATGGGATTAATGCAGTGGTCATTTAGACAGAGGATGGATTTTACTTTGGCAGTGTTCCTCAGTTGAAATTAGCACCCTTTCACCACAGAGTTAATCTGTTTGTCAAATTTCAGTGCTGAGTGAAAAATGGATTCCTGGCTCAGGAAGGTTTTGCTGTTAATGGGAATAAGTGGCTGCTGGTGGTTGTGGTTTTGTTGGGGAGAACCAAAAACAATCACTTTCACGTCATTGCCATTCAGCTGAAGATGGTCTTTTGCCATCCAGTACTTCACCTCCAGGAGGCAGTTCAGGATGGATGTGTGTGATCAGTGGAAGAGTGGAAGGACACTTTATGCTTGTGTGGAAGCAAAGGGGAGCAGATACAACGAAAATAAAAAAGGGTCCTTAGATGAATACCTCTTGATACCAGTTTTCCACCAATGGGGCCTCTTTCGAAGAAATTTTGAGATTTTGCTTTGCATGCATTTGCATTATTATTATTATACAGTATTATACAGTTATTTCATGCACCGTCCGCATTTGCTGTTAATTGATACAAATCACATCACTTATTATGTATTCTCTGGCACGTTCTCCATTTTTATACCTACTGAATTGTATTTAACACAGCGAGGAGCCACTCAGCCTCTGAGTAAGGAATTAAAGGATTTTAACAAGCCCCGAAGGAACTGCAGTGGTGAGAACACATGTTCACCCTTGCAAATTATCCCCGTTTATTGCTTTTAACACTGGATTCTGATCAATCAAAGGGGCGTTTTAAAAATTATTTTCTTTAACGGGCATTTTCGCCTTTATGGACAGAGCAGTGAAAGATAGACAGGAAGGTGGGGAGAAGAACCGGGGAGAGACCTGCAGCAGATGGCCATGGGCGGGAGTCGAATCCATGACCGCTGTCTTATATATTTGGGGTGGTGTCTTATCTTAGTTGAGCTGCTGGGGCGTCTTGTCAAAGAGGCTTTTTGACAAGAATTTGGGGGGGAAAAAATACACTCTTTCAACAGAGTTCTACTAAGTAATTTAAAAATTCTAAATATGAAATGTTTGATTGCATGAGTAATTACCTCTTTAGGGCAGCATTTAGAAGATGCACCTTGGACCACAATTACAGCACTGAGCCTGTGTGATTACGCCTCAATCAGCCTTTCACACATCACGATGCTACAATTTTATCATATTCTTCTTGCAAAACTGCTCTGCCAGGTTACATAGGGATCCAGAGTGAACACTTCCTTCTAAGTCCAGCCTCTTTGGTCTTTAAATCATTTCTATGTAGCTGTATGCTTCAGGTCATTGTGCTGCCAGAGAACAAATAGTCCCTTAAGTCGCAGTTCTCTTGCAGAATGTAGAAGGTTGTCCTCCAGGGTTGCCCTATACTTTACCCTCCACCTTTACAAACCCTCCAGGGACTGCTGCCAAGAAGCATCCCCAAATCATGATGCTGCCACCACCATGCTTCAAGGTGGTAAGGGTGTGTTTATGATGATATGCAGTGTTTGGTGTTTGCTAGACTTAGGGTCTAGTCTGGTGGCCAAAGAGCTCAGTTTTAGTCTCTTAAGATCAAAGAACCTTCTTCAAATTGACTTAAATGTCTCACCCTTCTGGTGAACTCAAAGTGAGATTTAATGTGATTTTTTTCCCCTCAGTGGTCTTCTCTTTGTCACTTTCCCATGAAGCTTTCACTGGTGAAGAAAAGGCAAAGCAGTTGTACAAACCGTCTCTTTCATCTCAGCACCTTCAGACGAGTCACACCTATCTTGGTGGCCTCCCTCTCTAGTCTCTTTCTTGCACATGAGCTCAGTTTTTGAGGATGACCTTCTCTTGGCAGATTTATGCATGTGCCATGGATTTACCTCTACTTCTATTTGGAAATGTTCTTGTATCCATCCCCTGATTTATGCTTTTCAATAGCATTTTTTATCAAGTTGCTTTGAGTCTTCTTGTAGAACTTCACTGCACTCAGATGATCTTCATTTCACCAGATGTGTGACCTCTGGCACATCTGGCAGCATCGGTGTTGAACTAGATGAGTGACTTTGAAGGTGGTGAATACTTGCAATCACTTTTGTTATTTTAGATTTTAAATTAATTGGCCTTATACAAGATACATCTATTTTCACTTTAGCATGAAAGAGTCTTACAAGTTCTTGTCTAAAAAACAAACAAACAAAAAGGGTAAAATAAATTGAGGATGATTAAATGTTGGAAAGAAATGACAGTTTTTTAAAAGGGGTTCTATTTCTATAGGTGCATGTGGAGTCAGATCAGCCTATGGACATTATAACCTCCATCAGGCATGTGGCGGAGTGACGCACGCACCAGCAGGAGGGTATACAGTTTATAAACCGCCAGAAAGGCTGAGCACAGACCACACTGGAGACCTCTGTCCTCCCCGCTGCTATGTCTCTCGAGGATCCGCTCGTTCTGACCCCTGAAGACAGCAGCGCTTTGCTCCCGAATGTCTCCGGAGTGTTCCGGGACTCGGCAGGAGCGCAGCACCGGTACAACATCTGGCTCCCGGGCATCGGGATCGCCGCCGTTTACGGGATCATCATCGTCGTGGGTCTGGTGGGGAATGTCACCCTGATGAAGACGTGTCTGCAGGTGAAGTCCATGCGCACGGTGCCCAACCTGTTCCTGTCCAGCCTGGCCGTGGGAGACCTGCTGCTGCTGGTCACCTGCGCCCCGGTGGACGCCAGCCGCTACCTGGTGGACGAGTGGCTGTTCGGCCGCGTCGGGTGCAAACTGATCCCGTTCATCCAGCTCACCTCGGTGGGAGTCTCCGTGTTCACTCTGACCGCGCTCTCCGCCGACAGGTACACACGGTCTGAGCTGCTTTTGCTTTAACTTCCCAACTTGTAGATTTCTTTTTCTAAAGTTGCGTCAGATTCAATAAAACCCCCCCATGGCATGATGCTTATAATAATAATAATAATAATAAAAGGTCTATTTAATGCATGCATGGCTGCAGCATTGCAACACAAAGACATAATTTAGAAATCTTGTCCATATAATTGAATGATGCATTAAAAAGTCTCCAAAAAATCTCTATAATTATTTGAATTATTCATGTTAATTTGTTCATGTATGTCCACAAATTGTGTTCAAGTAACTTCCTCTTGAAATCAGTGATAGCTATTAAGATTTGTTTGTTTGTATTGTTGAGGAAAATATTAGAATATTAAACATCTATGAAAAGAACTGTCCTGTTTTATAAATTATAGTTTTAAATACTGAATGTGACTGAATGATTACTGAATAGTTCATGTGTCTGCATACTTTAATTGTGATTAATCGGTTGAATATTTTCTCGAATATCAAATTAGTTGTTTGGTCTATAAAATATGACAAATGTCAATCAGTGTTTCCAAAAACCCAAAATGAAATGTCTTCATGTTCTGACATATTAACTGTAACTGTATATGATTTTATGATCAAGTAGAGGTTGCATGCATGTTTTTTCCCCCCAGGAATGATATATTCATATTTGTTTATAATATATCCTCTAAGAGGAGTAAGGAATAAGAAAATGTTTGATTTTAAAAGGCTCAAATCAGAAACTTGAGTTGGTTTTCCTAAAAAAATGACTTAAATGGATGAATCAGTTACCAAAATAGCAACAGTTAATTTCATAATTGGCAACTAATGGGTTAATTGATTAACTGGTGCAACTTCAGTCAAAAGTAATCAGATTTAATCACAGTGAAATAAGTCTAAAAAAGTCAGTCATGTGTTGCTGTAAGTGAAAATCCAAGGGAAAAAAAAGTACATATAGACTTTTGACTAATCAACAAAGATATCTGTTTCTATAACTTTCTATGTTGCCCTAAAATCTTCTCCATACCACCAGAAATTTATATGTGAAACTTTGTCCCTAAAAAGGATTACATTTACTTAAAAATAGCACAACCAGCCACATTTGTGTGCAAGATGGTTGTAAACGTCCCCTGAAGACTACACACAACACAATGCCAGCTGCTGTCATTGCTGGTTCTGGAGGTCTGACTTCATCGATAGATTATTTTATTTAGAAAAGGGAACTTTCAGATTCTCCTATATATTCTGAGCAAGTTACAGTTGTCAAAACCATTTTCTACTGACTCCACTGTGTTCCGAGACCATTTAATTAAACCACTAAATTCTCAAATATCTGAAACGTCACAAGATAATTGTGTGAAAAGCAAAGCATTAAATCTACCTTTCTAAAGCTGTCAAACTTTCCTTTAATCTTTACTTAATTTCCCCAAAGTTACAGGATGTTTCTAAGCAGAGCGATTCACTTAATTCAAAGAACTGCATTTAAACTGTATTTAATCTTCTTTTATTTGGGAACCGTCGACATAACAGTAAAGAGATGATCTGACGATTGTAAAGTACAGACATCCAATGATTTTCTGAGTTGTCATGCTGCGCTGCGAGGAAAATATCAATTCATGCTGGACAGAAAGCATCCACATGCCACTTTTAGTAGAAAAATTTTCAGCATTTTTGAGCTTTTGTGGCTCACCAAACATGCAGGGACACTTGGAAGGTTAATCAACTTGAGTTGTGTAACAATCAAAGCATTTTTTATGCATTTTTACTGCCTTTTATAATCATCAGGACAAATTGAGCAAACCGCCCTACACCATTTATTACCATCTACTTCATCTGACTCTCACCACATGCAGCAGCTAAAATCATCTGCTGTTTCCTTCAACTCAAAGCCTCCAGTAATTTCCTCTGGTGTTTAATCTACAGTGAGATCATCTTTCAGAGGTTACATCTTTTTGATAAGAAAGAAACTGAACCTGCTGGTTGTAAATTAGTGATCAGATGATGAAACGTGTTTCTGCAGTTGCTTAATAAGGAAACTTCGACAAGCTTATGTTGCTCCATTAAATGATTCTTCCTGATTCAGGTACAAAGCCATCGTAAAGCCTCTGGACATCAACAAGTCCAGCGCTACGCTCAGCTTCAGTCTGCGAGCCGGAGCCATCTGGCTGCTCTCTGGGACTCTGGCCATTCCCGAAGCCGTCTTCTCCGACCTGCACACCTTCACCACCAGCTACACCAACGAGACGTTCGTGACCTGTGCCCCTTACCCCCACACCGGGCAGCTGCATCCCAAGATCCACTCCACCGCCTCCTTCCTCATCTTCTACGTCGTCCCACTCTTCATCATATCCGTCTACTACTGCTTCATTGCTCGCAGCCTGGTCAGGAGCTCAGCGGACATCCCTGCTGAGGGACACCTGCACCTCCAGAAACAGGTATGAACACAGCAGCAGATTGATTTCCTGTCTTGACTCCATACACCCAAGCTTAGGGGACATAAGAGCCAGCCTAGCTCTGCTCAAAAGCATGAATGTCACTTATTAACACACTCAGTCGGGAGCAAAATTTACTTTCTGAGACGCCACAGGAGCCAAATTTTTTTTTGCCCCTGATAGCCTCTCACTGTAGGTGTCAGGCTCATTATTTCCCGGAGACATTCTGAAACCAAGCAGCACTCGAGAGCTGAACTCCTGTGTCACCAGGAGATTTGTCGATTGACAGAAAATGACCAAATTCACTGCAATTTTTGGCCACTTTGCCCTTATTGTGAAGTTAACAGGGACAGAAGATAAAGGTGGAGAAAGAGGGGACATACAGCCAAGGTCCCCTCTGGCCCTGAACTGTGGCCGTTGTGGTTACGTGTTGCACGCTTTAACTGTGAGGCCCCACAAATTTCATTTTCAAGTATAAATGCCAAAAATTCTCTTGCACCAGCCTGTAAAGTGTGAACAGATGTTAAGTGCTGGGACAGCAACTCAACATCTTTGACTCTGTGGCTGTTTCTGAGACAAAAACATCAATTCAAATATATTCAACTGGGCTTCTAGGACAATTGTCACTTTGTCTGGACTCTTTTCACAAGACAAAATCAAATAACTGTTAAAGAAAACAACTCTAAGATGCACTTCTGATGAAAGTAATTGTTGGTTGCAGCCTGATAATGCCTCTGCAATGACGGATAATAACACCATGTCAAGGATTTGTGATTTCTTTTGGGGCCTAATAGCTTCTTCCAGCTAAGACGGAGTCAGTTAAATTGCAAATTAATGTTTACACTTCTGTTTCTGTACAGATTAAACAAACAAAACATGATGTCATAATTGGTTGGATAAATCTTCCAGTCTTTGTGCCCTAAGCTAAGCACCATAAAGATCAACAGTGGTGTCAATCTTGGCATTAGGCTAACAGTCGCCAGGAAAACAAATCTCAAACTTCTCTTGTAACCTGAACATTTCGAATATTTTAAGTATCAGTTCGCACAAGAGGTTGCAACACAAATCTGAGGAGTCAAGACATGAGTAACACTATTGGAGAGTTAACCAGAAATAGGTTCACAGCTGGAGCCTCTCCTCATTGACAACACAGTCTCTCTTTAAGGTCTATTTAGTAGCTGTCAATCTAGCTTTTTGCTATAAATTACAAGAGAAAAAAGTAAGAAAAACACTGGTTACACTAAATACACACAGATCTGCCACAACATTAAAACTCACCTAATATTGTGCAGGTCCACTCATGCCACTAAAACAGCTCCGACCCATTGAGACTTCAGACCTCTGAAGATCTCCTGTGCTATCCATGGATTGTGTTTTTCAGCACATTGTACAGACTCTTGATCTGATCTAGATCTGGGAAACTTGGAGGCCAAGTCAGCATCTTGAACTCTTTGACACGTTCCTCGAACCGTTCCTGAATAATGTTTGCAGGAGGCATCATAGGAGACCACTGCTATCAGGGAAAAAAAGCTGCCATGAAGGAGTGTGTGTGGCCTGCAACAGCGTTTAGGAAAGTGATGCGTGTTAAAGTAACACCCACATGAATGTCAGGAGCCAAGATTTCCAAGCAGAACATTGTCCAGAGCATCAGACTGCCTCCATCGGCTTCCTGCTGATATATCTTTCCATCAAACAACGCCAGCACACCCGGCTGTGTGAAAGAAAACATCATCAGACCAGGCCACCTTCTATTGCTACATGGTTCAGACTTGGTGCTCCAGTGCCCATTGTAGATGCTTTGGGCAGTGAACAACCCCACACACAGCAAGCTGCGAAGCTGACAGCTTTCTTTTAATGCCAGAATTTAGATTTTCAGCAATTTGTGCCATGGTAGCTCCTCTGTGGACCTTTAACACCACATCAATGAGTCTGGGATGATTCTGGTCCACCAGTTGTCATTCCTAGGATCACCTTTGGTCCATTACTGACCGCTGCACACTGGGAACATCCCACAAGACCTGCCGTTTCAGAGATGCTCTGACCCAGCCGCCTTTCTGTCACAATTTGGCTACTCAGATCCTCACAATGACCAATTTTCTTGCTTCAAATACATCAACTACAAGAACTGACTGCTCGCTTACTGTCCAATATATTCCACCCACTGAGAGGTGCCATTGTAACATCCATCCATTATCTATACACCGCTTAATCCTCATTAGGGTTGCTAGGGGCTGGAGCCTATCCCAGCGACTCAGGGCCAAGGCAGGGGACACCCTTGTTACGACCTGGCTAAGACGTCTGCAACAAAAGGAGAGACACACCAGGTTCAAAAAAGCTTGTCTTTATTCACTTAAATTATACCAAATTAAAAATCAAACCAGTATGGGGTTGTGAGAGTACACAGAGTCAGTGGTGTGTGTGTGTGTGTGTGTGTGTGTGTGGTGTATGCATGAATTATGTCTGTGCCAGTGTTGTAAATGCAAACGTCCTAAACAAAGAAAACTGACCCATAACCAGACCAGTGTGTTACCTGCGGAGGAGAGTGATTAGACTGCAGTCAGCCCTTAAGTAACCCAGAAACACACTGGGTGTCACAGGTGGTCCTGATTGCCTCAATCATGAGTTCTTGTTTGTCTACTGGTTCTGTGAGTGGCTGTTTGAGGTAATCAGGAATCACCTGTGATACCCAGTGTGTTCCTGGAACATGCAAAGCTCACACAGAGATATCCCAGGCGTCCTCACCGGGACTCAAACCTGGGATCTTCTAGCTGTGAGGCAATGGTGCTAACAACTGTGCAGCCTGCCATTGTAACACGATAAAGCATATAATTCACCTCACCTGCCATTGGTTTGAATGGTCTTAGCTGAAGTCTGTCGCAACTGTAGTCAGAACCACTGTGATACACCTGTTGGTGGAAAATGAAAAGTTAAATCAGTGAAGGTACAAAATGGTAAGATGGTGAAAATTCTAATGTTTTATATGTAATGGTCTTGGTAACAGTTTTTGCTATTAATGATTTGTGTGTTTCTTTTCAATTCATTCAACATTCCTATATTTTGAAATCCTTATGTGTATTGAGCGATCCTGATTGATTGAAGTCTTTCATCAGTTATCTATCCGAGTTGTCAGTTAACACAAAGAGCAGCTAAATGTGACAGGGATATATCCGGGTAAGCAGATATGTCGTCACAAATGGTTGAAATGACATGCAGACCTGAAGCCATTCCTTCTATCTGCTCTCCTGTCAGATCAAGTCCAGGAAGCGTTTGGCCAAAACCGTGCTGGTGTTCGTGGGCTTGTTTGCAGTCTGCTGGCTCCCCAGTCATGTGATCTACCTGTACCGCTCCTACCACTACAACCAGGTGGACACGTCGCTGGGCCACTTCATCGCCAGCGTGTGCGCTCGCATCCTGGCCTTCACCAACTCCTGCGTGAACCCGTTTGCTTTGTACCTGATGAGCAAAAGCTTCAACAAACACTTCAACAAGCAGCTGCTGTGCTGCACCTCCCCAAGAGGCTTGTACAGCCAGAATAGTGGGAGAACAAACATAACCACCGTCTGAGGGAGTCTGTGATTTCCTGAAGCTAACATCTGTGCTTTATCAAGTCACTTTCGATTTCAGGGAACATAACAATAAAATATTTAAGAATATCTTAGCTGTCAACTTCTCTAAACCAAGAAAATAAAAGGTGCTATTTAAATGAAAATGTTGATCAAAAGACAAATTCAGCTCCTACAGATCTAAAGCTGCTTGTTGCAAATACAAGTACAGGGTATCTTTTCTGTTTATTAGAGATTAATCTTTTTTTGTGGCTGTTCCCTGACGGCCAGTATTAACAAAGGTCCTGATAGCTGGTTTCTCTGTTTTGTAAGTCTGTGCTGATGAAAAAAAAAAAACAAGGTTATTTGGATCTAAAATTAAATTCAGTATGATCATGCATCTTTTACAGTTTTAAAAGAAAATATAATGTGCTCAGGTGCCATCTGTGCAGCACATCATGCATGAAACATCTAAACGACGGTGTGTTTGTATATGTTTTTACCTGCACTGTGACATTATTGAATGAGAATGTCTCTACTAACCTATGAAGTTGCAGTTTACATCCATGACTACCCAGACTCATAATGTAGTGAAGACTGTGAAAGAAGTTGATAAAAGGTATAATGTCTATTTATGTCATGACAATGCTTCAATATGGATGTTGCTTTAGAGAAGTTATGAATTCTGGTGAACACCTTAGATTGGTGTCACTAATTCTGTGTCGGCTCAAGTGTGAAAGACGATTACGAACCGCCTGTCTGTCCCTGAGAGACGGTGTTGAATATCGGCTTAGAAAAGTGTTTTTGCAGAACATTGTGATGTCAAGTGAAGTTGACCTTTGGTTTCTTTAGATAGAAAATGTCACGACTTCATCATTTCATCCTATTAAATGTTCGTCCCGAATCACAGAACAATTTTTGGCTTTATGGCCAAATTACTTTGTGAGATCACACGTCGTGATCTTAGACCTTTGATCAGTGAGTTCATCATTGAGTCCAAGTGGGTATTTGTGCAGGAAGAGGAAGAAGAAGAAGAAATGTCTTTTTTCTGACATGTCATTCAGGGACACAGGATATCCAGGCCAACTGGAAAACCTGAAAACACTGCCTCTGGCTAGGACTATTGCTGACGTGGGCACAAAAACAGAGAAAACAGTGGAGAAGACGTTTACGTTGACATTTGAACATTCAGTGGCTGTAAAATATTCAAACTGAACACAGTAACTTTCTGCTTGTGTGTTTACTGAAAAAAGCTACTCTGCAAGACTTATTTGTCATAAATTTGCAGAATGCTATGATGTTAAAAGAACTGTCAGATATCACGCGTTATATTTGTAGTGACATATATGTAATGTGAGGTACTTAATGATGCACTGGTTGGCTTTGCTTCTGTGTGATGCACGTACAAATTTATGAAGCTATTTGTTAATTCTTAATGAAGTGTTCAAAAAGTGATATATGCCCTCTTGATTCAGGTTGTTGTACAACATGCAGGATTTGAAGCTCAGTGTGTTGGAGAAAGCATTACAGCGTGGGGAAAAAAAATGTGACTTACAATTTTGGGAAAAAATATGTTGGAATCAAAAAAGAAAAGGAGGGAATTATTATTTTATGTTTGTTTCCAGATGTGTTTAAAATGTGCCTGTTACTCTGTGTTTTCCTTATTGGTTTATCTGTTGGTTGTTTTTATGAATATTCAATGAAATGTTGAGTCTAAGAAATGTCATAAAGCACAAATACAATTTCCTAGTGTTTGTTTTTTATCTGAGCAAAAGTGCAAAACTTTAAAAATAAATAACTTATAATTAAAAAAAAAAAAAAAAAACGGTTATTACCTGTGTGTCTGTCCACTATTTTGGTCAAAACTGATGTTTCGACAACAGCAGGGTGGAATTCTTCATGAAATTTTGGGCAATCATGATCCCCTCAAGATGGATTCATCCTCATCATCCAGTGTCCAGTGACAACACTTTGTAGTCACAATGTAGGACAATGCTACGATACAGTCATCTTCAAATGTATTCATACCCTCCCATGAAAGAAGGAAAAAAAAACATCTCTCACTGAAATAAGTTGAAATTGACAAAAGTAATAATAAATACAAATTTAATGAAAATCATGGCATTGCTTTTGAATTGTGGTTCAACAAAAATATTAAAAACAAACAAAAAAACAACAACAAGCAAACAAGGGATGGGACCCGTAAGCTAATATTTTGTTGAACAACCCTTTGAGCCAATCACTGTAATCAAGTGTTTTCTGTAACTCTCGATCAGACTTCTGCTCCTGTTGACAGGTATTCTGACGCACTGCTCATCAGCAAAGTGCTCTCATTTGTCTGGGACAGTTTTTTTTTTTTTTTTTTTTAAATTTTCAACCACAATTCAAAAGCAATGTCTTATTTCACTAAATTATAATTGATCAAATTTTTATTTATTATTACTTTTTTCAATTTCTAGTTGACTATGTGACTATTGGGAATTTTGCTTTTTCTTTAATGGAAGGGTATGAATACATTTGAGGACAACCGTATATCAAGTGCAAATTACAAAACAGTAAAGTGAAATTGCTGTTTTTTGTTGTTGTTTTTTTTAAATTGTCATTGTATTGTGTTGCATATCTGGGTGTTCCTGCACTTTAAATGAAACAAATCTCTCGCTCCAGAAGCCCTTTTGGTAAATACTTTTTGATTGTTAAACCTTGGCCACTTAGTGAGTAAAAATGTAAAAATCTTTAGCTGAATTGATTCGTGTCACAGAGGAAAGTTGTCTCACAAAGAAAAGTCTTTCACTGTGCTGGTTGTGTGAAATTTTCCTCACAGAGCAGCACAACTGAATGGCACTCACAGTGGCAAATGGTCTGCACTTATGTAGCGCCTTTCTACCTCAGTGGTACTCAAAGTGCTTTACAATGCGTTTCCTCATTCACCCATTCACACACCAGTGGCGGCAGAGCTGCCATGCAAGGTGCTGGCAGCTTCAGGTTCAGTGTCTTGCCCAAGGACACTTCGACATGTGGGGGATTGAACTCCCAACCTTATATAAAGGACAACTCGCTCGACTGAGATATAAATTAGATTATATTCTTAGTAATAATGTTATTTCAGGGCTGCAGGGTGGCGCAGTTGGTAGCACTGTTGCCTCGCAGCAAGAAGGTTGACAGTTCGTGTCCCGGTGGGGGCACCGGAATCTTTCTGCGTGGAGTTTGCATGTTCTCCCCGTGCAGTGTGGGTTCTCTCTGGGTTCTCCAGTTTCCTCCCACACAGTCCAAAAACATGTTGAGGTTAATTGGTGATTCCAAATTGTCCGTAGGTGTGAATGTGAGTGTGCTTGTCTGTCTTTAAGTGTGGCCCTGTGATAGACTGGTGACCTGTCCAGGGTTTCCCCTGCCTTCACCCTAAGTCAGCTGGGATAGACTCCAGCCCCCCCGTGACCCTAGTGAGGATTAAGCGTTGTACAGATAATGGATGGATGGATGTTATTTCACTGAGCGTGCCTTCTCTTTGTAACCTTGACACCTCGGTGCAAACCCGCTGTGAGCTCTGGCTTCACAAGTAATGTCATAATCTGTGCACAGACATCCATGGAAGACTCTACACTTTGTTCTAAATCACAGCACACATTTTGCTTTCAGGACTTTGGCTAAAGATCAAGGCTTTATTCATTTTTTTCTGTTTAGGTAAAGAAACGTCAAGTTAAATCAGTTCAATAGAACTCCTAAAGGTTTCAGCAGAGGTGACCTTTCAGGGCTGGATACAGGAAATTATTTCCCCCTGAGCAACACCAGCCACAAAATGCAGTCCGCCACTCAGTTCCTCAGATCCGTTACTCTTGATGCTGTTCCAACTCATTGTCTTTTCTCTGCTCCTTAATATAAAAGTGCTGCTCTGAGTCACGACATGTGACATATTAGACAATACCACAGATGCTGTTCATGTTAGATTTTTATCCGTCAAAGACAAAGACTTCTCTGGAGCACTGTGCTTCAATCACAAAAGCCTTTTATAGCTTTAAGTTTCAGTTTCCTTACAGCCCATTGATTTCTCATGTGATTTCAAGATCACTGAAGCTAATACAAAGAAACCGTACAAAATGCTAAGTCTCAGTGGAATCAGTATTTTAAATTTACCCACGGTATTGTTGAGGTCAGATGTCACAGCAGTCAAAATAGTATTGCTTCTTTTTAAAACCTGATGCCTACATTAGCTATAATGTGACTCAGCCTCTAACAATGGCGTTCCGGTGTGTTATGCTAAAAGCAGCTAATGTAGCCTAAAGCTGCAGGCCTCCATGAGAGAAGAGGAATGAACTAAAGAGGTCTGATAACCTTGTTTCTGACTCCGCACCACCAGATTGCTTTTCAATTTCTGACTCATCATCTTTAGGCCGTGCCAACGCTGATTCAAGTGAAATTCATACAGCTTAACCTTTTTTGGGGGTCAGTAGTGACCCCCAACACCTGTAAAGAAAATTAAAAAAAAAACTTTCATGTGTAAAACTGGGTGTTTTCCCCATGTGAAGTAATGTAAAATACAAATCCTGACACAGTGCAGTATATTTACCCCCCTTGGACGTTTTCCACTTTTACTGCTTTTCAGCATTGAATCATGGTCAATATTTTTCAACTTCCAAAAAAAAAAAAAAGATACTTTCATATCAAAGGTTTCTACAAAACAATGTCAATTCATTAAAAATATTAAACTAAAACACCTGACTGCAGAAGTATTCACCCCCTTTGCGTCATTATTTTTTATATGCACCTTTGGCTGCAAACACAGCATTGACCCTGTGTGAATAAATCAACATTGCACATCTGGACAGTGAATTTTTACTCCACATTGTCTTTAAACCCTTTCTTTGTAACGCTGGCAGTATGCCCAGGGTCATTATCTTTCTGGAAAACAAATCTTGTCCCAAGTCAGTTCTCTTGCCAGCTGCATTAGGTTGTTCTCAAGAATTTCTCTGGACTTTTTCCTATTCCTTTCCTTTCCTAACACCTTTACAAGCCTTCCAGGGCCTGCTG